TAGGAGAATAGACTTCCTGTAAGAAGTAATGTTTTATAAAGATAAATATGAAATGCCTATGGTATCAGTTAAAATCAAGAATTTATCCAGAACAGTCTGGGTGGTATGAAGCCCAGTAGAGTAGGAGATATAGAGAATCTCACCCGAGTGTCTTTTGATATCAAATATATCAACATGAGTTGATAAAAGTGGAAAAATTCCGAGGCTTCTCCAAGACGGACGCTCTCTGTGGTTGCCTGGACACTTCCTGTGGTTGCCTGGACGCTCTCTGTGGTTGCCTGGTTGCTTCCTGTGGCTGCCCAGGCGCTTCCTGTGGTTGCCTTGATGTTTCCTGTGGTTGCCTGGATGCTTCCTGTGGTTGCCTGGATGCCTCCTGTGGTTGCCTGGACACTTCCTGTGGTTGCCTGGACGCTTCCTGTGGTTGCCTGGACGCTTCCTGTGGTTGCCTGGATGCCTCCTGTGGTTGCCTGGACACTTCCTGTGGTTGCCCGGGTGCTTCCTGTGGTTGCCTGGACGCTTCCTGTGGTTGCCCGGACGCTTCCTGTGGTTGCCCCGCACTCCTTGTGGTTGCCCCGACGCTCCTTGTGGTTGCCCTGAAGCTCCCCGTTCGCTCACGGCTGTTATTTAGTGGGACCAGCTGATGAAACTCCTTCAGTGCCATCACTGAAGAAACTGTTGATGAAGTAGATATGATCATGGATGATCGACGAGAGTTGAGAACATTCTCAGGAAAGAACTGGGCATGACAAAGGTACAAGTCTTCTGACTCCTGATCAGAAACACTCCAGGCTTATCATATCTTGTGAGAATTTGCGTCATTTTGAAGCAGACCCAGGTGATTTTATTTGAGCGATGTGTAACCATGGATGAGTCAGCCAAACAGCAGCCAAAGTAGTGGAAACATTAATGACTCTGACAAAGAAATCAAAGTCTGTTCCATCAGCTGGCAATAAAACTTTGTTTCTACAAATTTAATCCAGGAACAGATGTTTACACGTCTTCTTGACTAATATGTGATTTTTAAAAAAAAATTTAGAGAGATTCTTAAAGGTTCCACAAATATGAACTATTACACGTTTTAATATTAAAGACATATTGAAACTCCCGTGGAAAGTTTGATTTTTTAAAGATAACAGTATATGAAATATTTTTAACTAAAACAAATGCAAAATCATTTGTGGGCTCATTAAGAACAATTCTCTTAAATATTTTGTTCATATCAGGTGGTATTTTACACAAATTGATTTTAACCAATCTTTGAGGGTATTTTGACAGAAACTGACATGGTTTGGTTGGTTGGTTTGTTGTTTAACGCCGCACCCAGCAATATTCCAGCTATATGACGGCGATCTGTAAATAATACAGTCTGGACCAGACAACCCAGTGATTGATATCATGAGCATCAATCCACGTAATTAGGATCGATGACATGCTTCAACCAAGTCAGGAGCCTGACCACCCATCCTGTTAGTCACCCCTTACGACAAGCATGAGTTGCTGAAGACCTATTCTATCCCGGATCTTCACGGGTCGACATGGATTGGACAGTAGTGTTTCTATTGTTACTATTCCCTGCAGACAACTCGGCAGCAACTGACAGAATGCGGTTCAGTGACGATCTCTCACGATGTTACAAGAGCACATTAGGAGCTAAGTACGACCGACTGTGTCACTAGCTAATCGTGATGTTTTACCCAAGCTTAACATCGTGATATATCGCGCCCACATCGCGAACGTGAGTGAGTTAGTGAGTGAGTTAAAATTTAAGGTCATATCGGCATTATTTCAGCCACATAGCGACGAGGTCAAGTTTATCTATTTACAATTTAGTTAATAATGCAAAGTTTTATTTAAAAACAAGTTGTGCAACATATTTGAGCATACTATATTTAAAAACAATTTATAAAACATATTTGAGCATAACAATATGATGTATACAGTTTTAAAACACGGGCAAAAGGCAACCAGTTACCCTGGGCCACCTCGCTGGGGATCACGGGGACTTACAGTACCTCGGCTTCCTGCATGATACCCCAGCAGGATTTACGTCATCACTTTAGCTACTGGTGATTGTGCATAATACAAGCCCATATTAAAAAATATTCAGCAATGAGTTGGCTTAAAAACACTGGTTGATGATAGTAACATCGATTGGGATAGGATTACGTGTCACACAGGGGGGCAATATCTTTGCGCTACGTTAACCTCCTGGACAGAGCCTTCAGTAATGTCAGTTCATAATAGCATCACACCAAATTTAAAAACAAGCATTGAATTATTCACATATTTATACATATATGCATATTTAAAATTTATGATACAGACCAATTTCTTTCAAATAGCTGATAATGAGATGCCCGCTGACACGGGAAAAGAGATCTTTTAGATTTACGCTTTGATAATGTGAATCCCTTGCGACTGCAAAGTCCACACAGTCAGGCAATATATGCTTGACGGTGAACCTTTCATCACAAGGGATGCACTTAGGAGGTTCGTCCTCATCTGTCTTAAGCAGATATTCGTGGGTAAACCGACTGTGGCCAATACAACATCGTCGTAAAACGACCTCAACATGTCTTGACTGACAACCCAAGTAGGTATATTGCTTCCTACCTGGTTGTGCCACCTCTCTTGCCTGAGATCCCGAGTTTTACTTTTGATAGTTGGATTGAAATCACGTTGTAGTCAAGTAGTGGAGATAACGGTTTGTCAAGAGCTGCTTTAGCTGCAGCATCGGCTTTTGAGTTACCTATTATGCCAGCATGACTTGGCAACCAGCAAAAGACGATGTCACATTGGCCAGTAGAAAGATCATTATAGAGTTCTAAAATGTCATTGTTAATAATGGTGAGACACTTTTAATGCCTGAAGGCAAGACAACGAATCAGAAAAGATGATGACATTTTTAGATTGGTTTTGTTGTTGAATATAGGTCAAAGCTGTTAGGATAGCTTTGGCCTCGGCAGTAAAAATTGAACTAGAATCTGGGATTCTTGAGGAGACAGTTCTGGATCCAATGACGGTGGCACCAGCAACTTTTCCATCATCCTTGGATCCGTCTGTAAAATGGACCGATGAGAATTATATTGAGTTCGCAATTGGTTGTACGCTTGTTGATAAAAACCAAAGGTTTTGTTTCGGATTTTTTGAGTTGGGTTCGAGTGAGGTCTATCTCTGGCTTCACCATCTGCCAGGGAGGAGAAGACAGAAGACGGTAAGGTGATATAATATTAAGTTCTATTTTAGCTGCAGTAATGTGAGGTTGAATTCAGATTCCAAGTGGTGGAATCAAGTTAGACAAATTTTGAAACAGGTTCTCAAACTGAGGGTGGAAAACGCAATTGTATGCTGGATTTGATTTATTGGAATGTTATTTAGGAATGTATTGCAGTGAAAGTTTAATGCGGACATCGCGAAAGTGGGCGGATAGTCTAATACATGTACATGGATTCTTACACGAGTTTAGTAAAATCAGTATGACGCACATACGAGTGTAATACTATCTTTGTAACCCATTATTTCTTCATAATCATTTTCTGATCCCTTTAGAAAAATGCAGTCTCAGAAAACCACAATTGTCGAATGATAATAATCTTCAGCTTGACGTCGTTTCTAGTGTGACGTCATTCCGATCTTACGTCAAAATAAGATTCGATTGACGTCAAAATTGCCGTCCGGATGACGTATACATGAATTGTCAATGCAAGAGAGTAGCCATCCTAGATTTTCTACCAAGACAGATTCCACTTGGCGTATTTAAGGGCGAATAGAGTGGAAATGAGAGTGAGTGAGTGAGGTTTTACGCCGCTTTTAGCAATATTCCAATTTTCAATGTGTGAAACCAGAAATGGGCTTCACACATTGTGCCCATGTGGGGAATCGAACCCGGTCTTCAACGTGACGACATAATGCTTTAACCACTAGGCTACCCCTGTGGAAATGATATGAATGGACCACTGAAAATCAGTGATGACACCGGTAGCACCCGCCATTCATACAATCTGCATAAAAAAAAGTAAGTATTTAATTTTGAATTACATCTACTGTTTGTAAGAAATATTTTCGTTTTGCAACATAGCCGGGTACAGTTTTAAAAGTCTCGGCTCAAACATGTCTTTTGTTGTTGACTTAGCATTGATAACTGCCATGTCTCTTTGGCCTGTACCGGGCCGGCACTTATATTGTGATATGAGTGACGTGGACCTGCTTATCGATAACCCGGCAACCCGGTTGCTTGGATAACGTCACAAGGCATTGTTTCGCCGGTAGGTCTTATCATAGGGCATTATCAGTGATATCAGTGAATGTAACTTGTAATAAAAATACATACGAAAAGGAAGAGAATCCTGGATGAAGGAGTAAGCATATACCCCGAAACGTTGTGTTCCTCATAATAAAGAAGTTGACATCCATAAATTCTCTTCCTTATGTGTATCACTTCTAAATGTCTTTCAAAGACTAAATACGAAAATATGTTTAAAATGGTTATCCTAATATCCTTGTCTTAATATTTGCAATTCAAAAACATCGTTGGAGTCTCTAAGACTATTTGTTCGTGTGTTCAGCATCTGGGTCTGTGAACTCCTGGTTGTGTTTTACTATTTCAGAATCGTCCCGTGAAGATTCCAGGGTAGAATTGGTCTTCAGCAACCCATGCTTGCCGTAAAAGGTGACTATGCTTGTCGTAAAAGGCGACTAACGGGATCGGGTGGTCAGGCTCGCTGACTTAGTTGATACATGTCATCGATCCAAATTGCGTGGATCGATGCTCATGATATCAATCACTGGATTGTTTGGTCCAGACTCGATTGTTTACAGACCGCCGTCATATAGCTGGAATATTGCTGAGTGCGGCGTTAACAACAAACCAACCAACCAACTATTTCAGAATCACTATTTTCATTAATGAATGAGTCGGTCGGGTTTACAGGCGAGGAACGAAGTGGACGTAAAATGTATGCAATGTCGGCAAAGTCGTGACAACAGGGGCGGATAACTCTAAACACGGAAGCTAACATGGGACAAGCAAGTTGAAACAGAAGCGGGGTTGCCCTTTCATGTCATTGGTCTCAGACTAGTCACAGGTACACACGCATCGAATGTAAGTATCATAATTTGTGATAGTAATATGTGCACCATTTCTGGCGTTGTTTGTCCTGACACTGATTTGTAATCATAGCAAACAAATATCTACTGTCGTACGAAGCCTACTTGTAGTTGTACGCGGAACTCTTCACTTCGGTCAAGTTTGTTAGATCGTTCAGGTGTGATGGACGGGTTGCAGTAATTTCGTGCACCAAGAAATTTCTCACCCTTTGAAAATTCGTAGCCCTGAGAAATGCGAAATTTTATGCAAGGTTATGATAGCGTCCTATCATATTTTTTCATGGTTTTAAAACATCTCACGTTTTCGAATGTTCATCGCGATTGTTTGCGAATTGTGTGACATCACAGAAAAACAGTCCTTTCTTATCGTAGGGATATAGAATAAAACAGTCGCTGTTGTGATGTCATGAAAGAGGTTTATCACCACGCACTCTTTCACACACGTTTATCACCACACACTCTTTCCACACATATACAATTATACATGCAACTATCATAAAACATACACAGCCTTGAACATCACATGTTTAAACATTCAACCGTTAATTCTCTGCAACATTCACAAAAACTCACTCATACATACAACCATGGAAACAAATAATGTCAATCACTTGGTGACAATCACTGCAATCATATGCAGTCTTACTGCTAAGATGGCTTTGTGCAAGTGGACAGACAGCCCTCACATAGCTTGACTATAACTAGTACATCAGACAAGATCTGAGAGAGACATACATACATATGCATTGTCCGTTCATATTGGCGAGGTCTCTGAGGAGCTGGCTGGCAATGATGTACTTGGATTTGTTGTTGTCCAATGGCTTGAAATATGCCTCAATAATGTGCCCATTCTGTTATTGCATAGGATTATTTCATGTAACATAATTTATTGCTTATTGCATAGGATTATTTCTTTTAACAAAATTTATTGCTTATTGCATAGGATTATTTCATATAACATAATTTATTGCTTATTGCAAAGGATTATTTCATACAACATAATTTATTGCTTATTGCATAGGATTATTTCATATAACATAATTTATTGCTTATTGCATAGGATTATTTCATACAACAAAATTTATTGCTTATTGCAAAGGGATCTGAAATTACTTGTAGTTTGGGGTGTAAAATATCTAATTTCCAGGGGTATGAATTCGTTTGGGGAACAAAATAACATACACCCATAATGGACATGGTTCAATGTACAGGTTAAATTACTATGAACATCGACAGGTGTGTGTCTCATTGTAATGAATTATGATACATATGCATAATTGATATGCATACATAATATGGGAATGTAATATTTAGCATCAAAAGGGCATCGAGGAATTTGAAAAAGGTATGGGTACATATTATGGCGTGAGATGATACAGCAAGGCCACGATATGTATCACGATACATAGCAGGGCTGGATTTCGCTGTATAAAACATGCACCACTGCCACTTGTTATTGAAAAATGCAACCTAATATTTAGGTCAACATGCAGTAAGATCATGTAAGAAAAATTCACATTTGCGTCTAACCTTTGCATGTCGCCACAACATCCGTGTTTGAACACATTCAATACCTTTAGGCATATTTACTTTAAATAGTTGTATTTTGTCTTGACCTTTTTTTATTGATGTCTTCAAAATATGGATAGTCTACTTCAAGATTGTGTGCACGTTTGAACTTTGATAAATTTAAGGTTAAAGGGTGCAACCTGGTTTTGTGTTGTGCAGCTGGGTTTTCATGACAACATGCACCTGGTGCAAGTTAGGTCAACATTCTTAAATCCAGCCCTGCATATCGGTATATGGTCTCTGGTATCGCTATATGCATATTTACATCAAATCACGTTAAAACTTCTTGACTATAAATATTTCAGAGCAGGTTCTAAAGGAAAAGCCAACTGTAGACACATGTTCATAGCAGCAATATGTACCGGGCTCTTATTCTAGTCTTCATAAAAGTCCCAATTTTAGATTTTCTGTAATAATTGTTTCAGATTTCCTGAATTATTTTCTCTTGAGGAATGAGAACACGGGGTCCCAGCTGCACACAGTCGAGCCACGCCCACGCCCCACCATGCTCCCAACACCCACCAATGTGAGGAGCCGTTACACCAAGCAGTACAAGGAGAAGGGCATGGCCAACCTGGAGAGAGCCGTTCACGACTCAGCGCTCAAATTCAAGAATTTACCAACACGGGCCAAATTCTTATTTGGTTCCTCATTGGTAGTGTCTGTGCTATTCTACGGTTTTATCATCAGAAGTTTTTTCAAAAACGATTTGATGGATGAACACTTCCTGGAAACTGACAAGTGCCCTGCCTGCTACGGCATGAGTGCTTGCGGTCAGTTTTTTTACGATCGCGTCAAGTTTACGGGGTGGTCGAAGTTACGATTCCTAGACAGGGTGAATATAAAGAATGTTCACTTTGCTGATCATCAAGACTTAAATAGTGTTGTCATAAAGAAATTAAGCCACGATAGTGAAATCCAAGCAATCGATGATAAGATCTGTTCTGATGGCAACCGGCCTGCTGGTTGCGATATTGCCAGGGTTATATATATCACAAACACTGCCCAGACTTTGAAGAAAGGTCCGATTCAGCCCGAAACTTTGAAGGGGGAGGCATCCATGTTTACATGTGGGTCCTACCGACTGCTGGATCGCCTGTGGCACTATTACAAGGAGAGGCTGAAGAAGAAGGAAATATTTTTCAGGGACAAGATTCAGCTGTGGTACATCAGCATGGTTAACACTGAGCCGCTCATGTTACAGGTAGGTCGCAGAGTGAGTGAGTGAACCCTTAGCCTCTCGTGTTACAGGTAGGTCGCAGAGTGAGTGAACCCTTAGCCTCTCATGTTACAGGTAGATCGCAGAGTGAGTGAGTGAGTGAACCCTTAGTCTCTCATGTTACAGGTAGATCACAGTGTGAGTGAGTGAGTGAACCCTTAGCCTCTCATGTTACAGGTAGGTCGCAGAGTGAGTGAGTGAGTGAACCCTAAGGCTGTCATGTTCAAGGAGGTCACAGAGTGAGTGAGTGAACCCTAAGGCTGTCATGTTCAAGGAGGTCCCAGAGTGAGTGAGTGAACCCTAAGGCTGTCATGTTACAGGTAGGTCCCAGAGTGAGTGAGTGAACCCTTAGCCTCTCATGTTACAGGTAGGTTCCAGAGTGAGTGAGTGAACCCTTAGCCTCTCATGTTAAAGGAGGTCCCAGAGTGAGTGAGTGAACCCTAAGGCTGTCATGTTAAAGGAGATCCCAGAGTGAGTGAGTGAACCCTTAGTCTCTAATGTTAAAGGAGGTCCCAAAGTGAGTGAGTGAACCCTAAGGCTGTCATGTTCAAGGAGGTCACAGAGTGAGTGAGTGAACCCTTAGTCTCTAATGTTAAAGGAGGTCCCAGAGTGAGTGAGTGAACCCTTAGTCTCTCATGTTAAAGGAGGTCCCAGAGTGAGTGAGTGAACCCTAAGGCTGTCATGTTACAGGTAGGTCGCAGAGTGAGTGAGTGAACCCTTAGCCTCTCATGTTAAAGGAGGTCCCAGAGTGAGTGAGTGAACCCTTAGCCTCTCATGTTAAAGGAGGTCCCAAAGTGAGTGAGTGAACCCTTAGTCTCTCATGTTAAATGAGGTCCCAGAGTGAGTGAGTGAACCCTAAGGCTGTCATGTTACAGGTAGGTCGCAGAGTGAGTGAGTGAACCCTTAGCCTCTCATGTTAAAGGAGGTCCCAGAGTGAGTGAGTGAACCCTTAGCCTCTCATGTTAAAGGAGGTCCCAGAGTGAGTGAGTGAACCCTTAGCCTCTCATGTTAAAGGAGGTCCCAGAGTGAGTGAGTGAACCCTAAGGCTGTCATGTTAAAGGAGGTCCCAGAGTGAGTGAGTGAACACTTAGCCTCTCATGTTAAAGGAGGTCCCAGAGTGAGTGAGTGAACCCTTAGCCTCTCATGTTAAAGGAGGTCCCAGAGTGAGTGAGTGAACCCTTAGCCTCTCATGTTAAAGGAGGTCCCAGAGTGAGTGAGTGAACCCTAAGGCTGTCATGTTAAAGGAGGTCCCAGAGTGAGTGAGTGAACACTTAGCCTCTCATGTTAAAGGAGGTCCCAGAGTGAGTGAGTGAACCCTAAGGCTGTCATGTTAAAGGAGGTCCCAGAGTAAGTGAGTGAACCCTTAGTCTCTCATGTTAAAGGAGGTCGCAGAGTGAGTGAGTGAACCCTAAGGCTGTCATGTTAAAGGAGGTCACAGAGTGAGTGTGAGTGTCTCCTGGGCATGGTCAGAAACGTCTGGACAATTGAAACTAAAACCTCACACTTGGCTTCCCAATCATGATCACACCTAAAATTGTTCAAGATGTTTGGCTACAATTCAGCCATGCCAGCCATATTGAAAAAAAATCTATTGATGGCCATTACTCCGCCATTTTTGTTCCAAATATTATAAAAAATGTCCCCTTTTTGGCAACATTGTGAATTTTGACCTTGAGTTGATCTTTGCACTTGGACGATGCTCTTGATAACTCTAAATATACTTTTCCTTTTCCTCTTTCAACATCTCTGAAGATGCCCGACTGAGGAAGCTGAATGTTTGCTTGTTTGTTTCTAAATTTGTGCAAATCTGTTGAATTTAGGGGGACGGTCGGGTAGCCTAGTGGTTAAAGCGTTCGCTCGTCACGCTGAAGACCCGGGTTCGATTCCCGACATGGGTACAATGTTTGAAGCCCATTTCTGGTGTCCCCCGCCGTGATATTGCTGGAATATTGCTAAAAGCGGCGTAAAACCATACTCACTCACTCACTCACTTGAATTTAGTGTCAGTTTGAAACTTCAGTTTTATGCAGGGAAGACCATCCATGGTCTCGTGGATAGAGCATCTACCTTGAGAGTGGAATGTTGGTGGTTCGATCACCGGCCCCATTGTACCAGAAAATGTTAAAAGATAGTACTTGTTACCATGGTTACCCTGCCTGGCGTTCAGCATTAAGGGATAAAACAAGGACTGGTTGGCTTGGAGTCTGAATTCATTGTCTGAGTTAAACTGCAGGAATAATCATGATGTTAAACCCCATTTCATCTCATCTTATGCTGGAAATATTTGAATATCATTAACAGCAAATTTTGTTAATAGCTGTCTTTGTTGAATTTGTATTTGACTACAATCCAGGTGAGCTACATGGCAATAGCACTTTTATTTTTGAGATGGCAGATCTGTATGTAAATCATTTGAAAACTATTGGGTTTATGAATTTGTGAATCTTTCCTTCTTGTTCTAACTGATATTTATATTCTCAGACATTCCCGGCGTCGGAGGGGTGGCCGTTTCCGGAGTACTACGGTGCGTGTGGTCGCTTCATGATGGTGGAAGACACTGGCCGTCCCCTCGGGGACTTCTTCCATGCATCGTTTGAGAAGAGGGTGAGTATTCATAAGAAATGTTGAATAATACATATGTAAGTCTGTATTTTAATAAAAATAAATAAATCATATTTTGGTATCAATTCACAATTGTACTCGCATGATGGTGTGACCTTGGATGTTGTCTTTTATTCATTAGTAGCAGTACCAAAGTGGAAGATGAAAATTATTCGAATACAATTTCGACTGCATTCATTGAAGTTTAGGCCAAACATTTTTTTATCTTACCTCCATGTTAGAATGTTGAGATCTGATTGGTTCATGTGATCTTCATAATATACAATGTATCCCACCAGGGAGGGAAGTCATTTTCTGAGTGGGAGAATAAATGCATTACTCACCAGAGCTCCAGATAAGCTTCGTATCTGCGTGAAATACGCATCAGAAATGCAGAAATGCGCAGTAAAATATAATCCAAGCGTATCAAATACGCAACGGACATTACAGATACGCTACAAAAATAAAATTTGTGCATATCATCAAAATATTGTGAAGTAACCCTGCGTATTCGATTAGCAAAACTTATTTTGAAATTATAAACGGGCATTCCGTCAACCTTGCCAAACTCCACAATGACAGTCACATCATGATCATTTGCCATCACACTTTCTTGTTGAAGTATCGTGGTATTTTTGAGTCCTATAAAGCTCTCGAACCCACACGACACCAGTTTGCAGGGACTAGATGAATAGTGTTTTTAAATATTCAACTTAAATACCCACATGTGTAAAAACTAGTGGGTAACAGAAATTTGAATATGCAGATAGAATTACTGATACCCAATGATTTTAAAATGCATGGGTAAAATACCCACAACACCAAAAGCTTATCTGGAGCTCTGCTCACCCCATGAAGAAAACAGGTTTTCCTTGGATTTCCCTTGCACCCTGCTATGAAGCAAAAAGCTGCATTTCTCTGTGCAGAGCAGTGTCCCTTGGGCACGCCAGACACTACGACTGGGACTAGTCCAAATTTACTACCCAGGTACCCACCCCCCTATTACCCAGCCCTACCCAGATACCCGCTGTAGGTCTCAAGAGATAGGTACAAAATGTCTGATTGGGAATAGTTTGACTGTAGCCCTGGACAAAATGTATTTAGATACTCATATAAAACGATCTGCATACATTGAAGTTGACTGAAGTTTTATCTTTATTCAAACATAAAAGTCAGAAGGAATGGGTGCATAGTCAGAAAGAAATGCGAACATTAGTGACTTGTAGTGCAATCATATAGTTACTTTATCATTTCTTTTATTAAACAGTATATCACGTGACTAACCATGAGTCCGGGTAGTCCTGTTGGTACCCAGGTCCTACTCAGTACCCCCCGACCCGAGTACCCGAGTTACCCGCCCCAGCCCTACCAGGAATCTTATAAGTGGGTTCGAATCCCCGTTCACCCTGGTTATGTTTCTAGGTTTGTAAGCACCATACCAGTGCTTGTGGGTTGATCTGCATCAATTTGGGCTTTCCTCCAACACTAATGCGACACATCATATTATGGCTGGAATACTATTAAAAGCGGTGTTAAACCCAACTCACTCACTCGTGTGAAGAAAGCCTGAAGTGATGCAGGTCGTAGACCTTTACAACGTAGATGAAACCCATGTACATGGACCATCTTCCCGAGGCAAGGGAGTTAACTGACTATAAAAGTCCAGTTTCCACCCTTGCCGAACTAGGCTGGTATTATGGAGTTACATTTTGGCTGGACTAACGAGTCTATGCATAGTCCAATCAAAATCGTGCACCGAAATCGAAATCCGGTTCGTAAAGTGTCATGCAGATTTAGGTTGACTGCAGGATTTGCAAAGCATGTGCACCGCTAACTCGTTGTCAACAGATATTTTCTAAATCTTTTCATGCTTTTAATCAAGGTGCTCACGTGATTTGATGCACTTCGAGATGTAAGACTCGTTTTATCACAATATAGATCTTGATTATCAATCAGATCGTCTTGACTTGGCGCCACCGTTTTGTTTGAAGCAAATGCAAGTGATACGAGAAGTTGAATCTGATTGGTCAATAGGGGAGGCATAGAAAGGATGTAACTGGTAATAGCCACTGGTGGCGCTACGATCGAGCCCAGGAATTCCAGCCTAGTTCGGCAAGGGTGGAAACTGGACTTTTAAAGTCAGTTAACTCTCTTGCCTTGGGAAGATGGTACACGGACATGGTGACAACCTAGAAACAACATCAGGGCAAACCAGGATTCGGACCCACGATCATAGGTTTCTTCTGACACACTAAGGGATGCAATTCTGTACCGGGGATTGCGGTGCCTCAGATCGCTGGGCCTCCTGAGCCTCCATGTTGGTCTGAGCCATGATCGTAATGCCAGTCACTGCTCACACTTCCAGGCAGACATTGCGTACCAGATCATGAAGATTGCAGACAAGATGACCATCAACGAAGAACAGTTTGCCCTGTACTGGACAGACCTGACGTATGAAAACCTGTCTGTTGATGCAGCTGGCAAGGTCAAGGTTATTGATCTTGAGAACATCATCGTGGTGGATCTCATGGCAATCGCAGCAAGTATGTGCATGTTTTATTTTTATTTTTTATTTTTTTATTATTTTTTTTGCTCTGGTCTGGAGCTGTTGATCAATAAAACACAGTGATTAAGATATAGTTGTTTCAATCCCATGCCTAGAAATATGGAGAAAAGCTGTTTGTTGTCTGTTTTTTGTAGTTTAATGAATGTCAATTTGCTGTGACCATGGTAACACTTTCAGAATAGTACATGTTTTATTTTGGCAGATTGTCTTTTGAGATGTTTGAAGGAAATAAGAAACAGTGGAAATGAAAAAACATGAAAAACATGAACACTCATAAATATTTGATGAAATATAAAAATTTCTACTTTGAGAAAACTCCATGTGTATTATCTTAACACACTTATAAAGGTGAACTTCAATATCAATATCACAGAGTGGGACAGAAATGGGCTTCACATGTTGAGTGAGTGAGTATGGTTTTACGCCGCTTTTAGCAATATTCCAGCAAAATCACGGCGGGGGACACCAGAAATGGGCTTCACACATTGTACCCATGTCGGGAATCGAACCCGGGTCTTCGGCATGATGAGCGAACGCTTTAACCACTTGGCTACCCGACAACCCCCTTAAGCTCATGCCCATTGGAACAGAGGCCATTGCGGTTCCACTGGAAATTTTGGGAAATCAAACCAGGGCCTTCATGGGTATTAAATAATAATAATAAGAAGAAGAAGAATGTGCATATTTTTCATAATGTGCATTTCTAGAATGTGCCAATCCACACCCTAAATCATACTCATATTTTATGCATCCCATGGATCTCACAGTGGAATTATTTTGTACACAGTGTTCCGCTTCGTAAACAACATGGATTTCAATGTGCAGATTTTGTTTGATTGCAGGATTTGAAAAAGCATTTGTACCGCCAACTCAGCGTCAACAGATAGTTTACAAATCTGTTCATGTTTTTGATCAAGGTGCTCACATGAGTTGATGCACTTAAAAACCCGTTTTGTTACAATATAGATTTTTATTATCGATCAAATCGTCTTGATACGTCAAGTGATATGAGAGGTGGAATCTGAATGGTCAGTGGGAGAAACATAGAAGGGACATAACTCTTAATAGCCACTGGTGGCGCTACGATCCAGCCTGGTAATTCCAGCCTAGTTCGGCAAGGGTGGAAACTGGACTTTTACAGTCAGTTAACTCTCTTGCCTCTGTAAGATGGGCCCAATATTCCGGTTTATTGTTTTCACATCAATATGAAACTTTTTTAATATTCTCTCTTCTCTCTTTCAGCCAAGCCCAAAGGATGGGATGAATTTCTCGAGAGTCCATTTGATGAATGTGGAGGGAAAAACTGTCTTGGGTTCTCCACGGCAAAACTGTGCTCCCATGTCAACTCAGACCATAATTATTACGCAGCCTGTCGCAACATCTTGTCCCAATATGCAAATGAGGATGGAAAACCAGGAGGGTTGCTGCACGACATGCCAGACCACGCCCGCGACTACTGGGACCTCGAACATCTCCTGAATGAATGCGCACGACCTCAGACAGTGCAAGGTCGAATAAAGGTCAAGGACAAACTCATAAGTGCGTTTGAGAATCTGATGTCAGACCCGAATGTGGATGTCAATGTTTTGGATGAAGCTATGGAAGATAAACATGAAAACAGATTTTTTAAGAAGACAGGAAAAGATGAAGAATGAGAACTTTGTAGGGGTAAATAATATTCAGGGTCCTGTTTCAAGAAGTGATCGTCCTTCTATGGCTATTGTTACTCCTAGTCTTTAACAGATTTACAACAGTCACTGTGCAATGATCCCTTTGTGCAACATTCCCTAGGTGTGTTTCTGGTGTGTTGAAGGATGGGATATAACACTGTTAGAAACTGGCTTTAGTCGTAGTTGTCGATACGTAGTACTAAGTTGCGTGGGTTTGTTTATTCCACTGTGTACTTCTTCTTTAGCGCATAATTTATTCAGTAAGAATATAAAAATAAAAATATGTGTCTTGTGAATTGAGATGTTTTAGACATTCTTGCCACTACTAAGAATATCTTTGCTCACAAACTGTTTAGTGTTCCATCAATTGCATTTTTGTACCAATCCCATTAATATCAGATCTTTTGCTCTGATACGATACCTCTGTGTGAAGATCTCACAACCCCTGCAAAGAATGTCGCTTCTGGTGAATTCGTTTATCAACCAATCAGCATCAAGGCGTCAAGAGTACCAGACTGACAAGCATATCAACAAACATAATCAGTGAGTTCTGGAGGAGAATAATAAAAGCTGTGCTGTTACATTGCTGTTGATATGCAAGCCGACAATGCTTGTTTCGTTCAGATTGGACGGTCACAGTTTACCTGACACGATCTGCTATGGAGGACTTGTCAGATGTTCATGCAGAGGTATCATAGCAGAGTAAACAATCTGATTTTAATGCGATATGTCTTCTCCTTCACACCTTGTCGAAAAGCTGAGCCATCAGGATTGTGACTTGGGATTTGTATTGCCCCCCAAAATGTATTTCATTGAATGAGATTCAGGTATCAGTATTGAAATACAGTCAACTATGTTTATAACGAACACGCTTATAAAGAACTGACGGATATAAGGAACTTATTTTTTAGTCCCGGCCATTTGATGTTTATATGCTGCTTATATGCTTATAACGATCTACGGTTATTACGAACTAAAATCACTGGTCCCTTTGAGTTCGTTATAACCGTAGTTAACTGTATGTTACTCAATATGGTCAGATGCTGCCATTGCGTAGTCATGGATACAGGGGAGGTAACATTACAGCAAAACCACTTTAATGTTTCTGGTGTTTTTCAATCAATTGAAGGGAAACATTTGTGAATTTCTGTGTAGAGTTTTTAGGTTAAACGATTTTAATAATAATGAAACTTGTTCTGTTTTTCTACCCAATATACTAGTCCAAAGAAACACTATCGCAATATGTATCATTTGAAAAACATATTGCTGTTTTAACATACAGTCCTCACTGATTAGTGTTTGTGGGAAATCCGTGCCTTTCTCTTCAGGTCATTATCAAGAGCTCATTTCAAGTGCTGCTTATAACCAAAAGAGGCTTACGTTATTGTGCTATTTTAGCGTGACATTGCATTATACCCAGAAGTCCATGTTTTACGAGGTATGTTCAATCAAGATATTGTAATGGTTGTTTAAACGTGTGTTTGTCATGTGCAGCAAAGGAATTATATTGTGATGTGTTAGAGATGCGCAGTATCACAGGTATACACGATTTAAAATACTAATGAATACATATCACAATACGTTCTGAAAATACTGGTATATTTCTTTTTTCAAAATCATGCATATTTCATCTTGTTGGCAAATTTTAAATCAGAGGAAAGTGGAAATAAATTATGAAATTTAGACATTTGCAATTTGATTTCTGTGATTGAGAAAGTGAAACTTATCATGACCAGTTTCCTGAATAAAATTTGTCAATTACATGTGTTGTAACTATGGCAACATCTAACAAAATGGCCGCCGACAACGGTGTTGTCCAAAATGTGCCGGAGAAGTCCAATGTAATGGTCCATATTAATTCAGGTTTTTAACAAATTACAGATGAAAGAATGCATGCAATATATTGTATGTACAACACATGAATCATTATTTCAATAAATTGCAATGTGAAAGTAGGTCCAATACCGATCACTTTGTGAGGTCATTCAATACTACAGGTCTTCAAGCCTTTGGGTATAGATTGATGACATCCTTTAATGAGTCAGGTTGGAACTGGATTAATGTTGGAGTTATCCTGAAGTATTTTTTGATGTTCTTGCTGTGTAACCATCAATAATTGTTGATCAATACTTACATACCTTGTTCCAACTATCAAGATAATATGTCCACTTGTCAATAAAGTAACTTCAAAGCCTTTTAGGAAATCAATATACCTAGACTGAGGCAGACATTCTGATAAGACATTGTGCTTTTTAGAAATCTGTTGGCGCAGCATGCAATTCATTGTAGAATGAATTAGAGTGTATGCTCCAATCTGATTGGCTGAAAAACATCGTTAAATGAGATTTGATCATGGAAATCTTTTGGACTTTTCATTGTTTTTGAGAGCTTTTCTCATTAATATTTTTTTTTCTTTTCTCAATGCCAAATCTGAAAAAAGGTACTATTCTGCTTGGTGAATAGGTTACCATGTCAACAAAATATTAAGTTTGATCAATATTTATCTTTGATTTAAGTGCTTTTGTCAGTATTCTGCTAAACAGGCATAATCGTTTTTCACAAGCACTTAACTTCATCCATTGTATCAAGATGTCCCAGCATTCCAGTGTGACATCATAGCATTCGTCACTGACATCATAGCATTCGTCACTGACATCATATCATGGCTGCCTCACAACTGTGAGAGTTCACGTGGGTAGAGAGTGCTACAGAAAGTTACTGATAACTTTTATATTTTACAGTGTAGATAATATTACATGTTTTCAGATTTGAGCATGCTGTTGAGTATTTGATGCCCAGAAATTTTAGCATTTTAAAACTCCTGCTAATGTTGGTTCCACATAAAACTTTCTGGTCATCGATTATTCAAGAGAACAGGCAAATCTGAAAACATGATGTTAATCTCCTGACTGATGAGGTACAGTGTACCCCTGGGATGGTACCTCCTGGCTGGGGTACAACATGTACCACTTGCACTTGGGCATGTGGGTAGAGAAATGAATGCAGCAAATACCATATTTCCTCTAATAAGAGCCCCGGTGATTATTCTTTGGACAACTTCCAAACCTGGTGTATAATGGAGGCCGTGCAGTAATTAGAGTCCCAACGCTTACAGTATGGTGTTAAAAAGCTTTTATTTATTCTGAGAAGATATCTAAATCTAACAAACCCGGCGCTTACTGGAGACCTGTACGTATTGTGTTGTAGGCAGCTTTGTACCCACTGCTTGTTGGAGGGCGGCGCCTATAAAAGACCTGGTGCTTATTAGAGGAAATATGGTAGACTAGTTCAAGTTCATTGTATAGATCAATCATTTTTTTTGAACAAATGAATAATTGTTTGTAAATATGATCTTTCTTGATATGTGTTTCATGTACAATGTATGTTTGTCCACTAGTGTGATGTTTGTAGGTGTCATACTGATGTTGTCAGTGTTTCAAATATCACAGTGGACGGTACAGAGGAGGACCTGGGGGATGTTGTCAATCTGGTCAAACCTAAGAGTGTGTATGATGCTGACAAACCATTCATAATCTGGAATTTCATCCCAAGACTAGCAGAGCATCACAGCGATCTGTATGATCAGTGTTGTGTGTGAGCTCTGTTTGCTCCATGCTTGCTGTAAAAGGCGACCATGCTTGTCGTAAAGGGCGACCATGCTTGCCGTAAAAGGCGACTATGCTTGTCGTAGCGGTAAGAGGCGACTAACGGGATCGGGTGGTCAAGCTTGCTGACTTGGTTGATGCATGTCATTGATCCCAATTGCGTGGATCGATGCTCATGACGTCAATCACTGGATTGTCTGACCCAGACTCGATTATTTACAGACTCCGTCATATAGCTGGAATATTGCCGAATGCGGTGTTATTACAGTTAAACAACAAACAAGCAAACTGTATACTCAGTATGAATTGAGGTAATACCAGTAAAAAATGGGGTATTTTCATCTTATGTAAAAGGGGGACTTTTACAAGAACCGTTCATTTGAAAAAAGATGTAGTGAGTGCGTGAGTATGGTTTTATGCCAGTTTTAGCAATATTCCAGCAATAACACGGCTGGGGACACCAGAAATGGGCTTCACACATTGTATCCATGTCCGGAATTGACCCGGGTCTCCAGCGTCAAAAGCAAACGCCTTAATCACTAGGCTACCCGACCGCCCAGAAAGATGTAGAATACATCCAGACTATACAATATGTACATAGGGTATGGAATATATTTGGAGTCGTTGTTTTGTTTAGCTTTTAAAATTTATGTGTAGACTATATTCTATAATAAATAAATCTTGCCAATATTTTGTTTTGCATATATGTTTAATTCACACATTTCAATATTTTAGCGTTTTTTTTATCATATTTATCACTGTTAAACTCAGCTGTGTGTCAAGTACAATTTCTTCAGGGCCAGTGAACTTACCTAATATTATTATAACAGGGTAAATGTTATGACTAAAATTAACTGAAAATGACATATTTGGATTACAGACTTTAATCAGTTTTAGCACAGGACAGTACTTGCACAGCAAGCTTGATCTTAGTAGGCCATTTGTGTGGCCTGCAGGGATTTACACCATGCACAAATGTGAGGTGAGGTGAGGTGAAATAGGGTTTAACGTCGCGTCCAAGATTATTGCACTTATATAGCTACGTGCATGCACGTGTATGTGTGTGTGGCTGCTTGTACGAGGGGTGTTCATTAAAGATTTCCCCTAAACCACTTAGGGTTATCATATTTGGTTGAAATTTCACATGTGTAATGATACATGTATCTATGGGTTATGTCTGAATTTGCAGCCCCGAATTATTAATATTACCACTTTTACAGGTGTTATGATCGAGTAGGGTGTGACAATGGAGCCAGTAGAATACCGAGCAGTGATTAGGTTTTTATATTTGAAAGGTCGCACACCAAAAGAAACTTTCGATGAAATGAAAGCAACTTATGGGGAAGATGCCCCATCATATGACGTTGTTAAACACTGGCATCGCCAGTTCAAGTGTGGTCGGACATCTGTGGAAACAGCTGCCGTTCCTGGTCGCCCCCATTCAGCCATTGATGAGGACACTATCCATCAAGTGGAGACCGCCATTTTGGCAGACAGACGTATAACTGTTCGCCAGTTAGCACAAGATGTCAAGATCAGTGTAGGGTCTGTGGAAAAAATCATCCATGACAATTTGAACATGCATAAGGTGTCTGCACGATGGATTCCCAGGTTGCTCACACCTTTCCAAAAGCAGGAACGAGTCAATTGCTCAAAGGATCTTTTGGACATGTGCCCAAAAAACCAGGCAAACTTATCACACAGGATGAAACATGGGTCCATCACTATGATCCTAAGACTAAAGTTCAGTCGATGCAATGGAAGCATGTGGAGTCACCACCCCCAAAGAAGGCACGTGTCCAACCCTCTGCAGGCAAGGTCATGCTCACGGTGTTTTGGGACCAGCACGGAGTAGTGATGATGGATTTCTTGGCAAAGGGTACCACAATTACTGGAGCTTATTATGCTTCACTGCTGCGGAAATTACTTAAGAAAAAGCTTAAGAGGCGTGGCATGCTGACCAAGGGTGTCCGTCTCCTGCAAGACAATGCTCCAGTACACAACTCTCATGTTGCCCAGACAGAAGCGCGGTCCTGTGGCTATGAAATCCTTCCACATCCTCCTTACTCTCCTGACCTTGCACCATCTGACTTCCACCTCTTTCCAACCATGAAGTCATTTTTGAAGGGAAAACCTTTCACAGGTGATGAAACACTGATTTCTGAAGTCAAGTCCTGGTTTGAGACGCAAAATGAGGGCTTTTACAAGCGAGGTCTCCATAGTTGCTTAAAACGATGGGAGAAGTGTGTAACTCTTGGTGGTTCCTATGTGGAGAAAGACTAATACCTATGCCAAGTTTCATTCCACTAGGTCCATCGGAAGTGGGTCAGGGGAAATCTTTAATGAACACCCCTCGTACTAGTCCGGACTGATGCCGATTTATAGTGCTAGCTCACTGAGATACCATGCCGCAGTTTAACATGAATACCCCACTCAGACACAGTATACTGACTCCGAGCCAGCCAGTCCTTGTTTTAGCCCCTTAATGCCGAGCGCCAGACAGGGTAACAACAAGTACCATCTTTTAACGTCTTTTAGTATGACGCGGTCGGGGATCGAACCCGCACAAATCTGGATAATGGACGCAGAAAGAGAATATATAGTGTCCTTCGGGATGCACTGTAGTATTCACGTTTCTTACAGTGCATCAAGTTGTTGTTTGTTTGTTTGTTGTTGAGCAAAGTAGCGTCCCTTGGGCACGCCAGCGTTGCAGGACTCAGACGTTTACCACTTTGGTGAAACCCACGGGTATGGAGCTGACAAATCAAGAAACATAATCGGGGCGAACCGAGATTTGAACCCACGATCATAGCTTTCTGGCGTGCCCAATGGTCGCAACTCTGCACAGCGAATTGCGGCGCCTAAGATTTGTTTGTTTGTTTTTTGTTTAACGCCGCACTCAGTAATATTCCAGCTATATGACTGCGGTCTGTAAATAATCGAGTCTGGACCAGACAATCCAGTGAGCATCGATCCACGCAATTGGGATATCATGATGTGCATCAACCAAGTCAGCGAGCCTGACCACCCGATCCCGTTTGTCACCTCTTCCGGCAAGCATGGGTGGCTGAAGACCTATTCTACTCCGGATCTACAAGTGCATCAAGAGCTGTTATGGACATCTGTCATTTCATCCATCAATCATGACCACTGTCTACATAACCACTGATTCATTCCAGGCTCTAAAGTAACTATTAAACCATACAATACACTCCACCATTTCATTACTTTACAGGACCCTCATATTGCCTGCAATGACCCTTCAAATTAATTATTGGGGGTCCCTGGACCCCCACGTTTGTTGGTCAAAGTAAAACCCTGGGACTGCAAAACTCCAAATTTAAGTAATCAGCCCAGCTGTTAATAATTATCTTATTTTCATCAGATCTCAGTTTTCACACACAGCACTCATTGCAACAATGCAACCGGTTCGCCCCGATTTTGTTTCTAGGTTTGTCAGCACCATACCCGTGCTCGTGGGTTTCACCGAAGTGGTAAACGTCTGAGACCTGCATCACTTCGGGCTTTCCTCCCACATTAAGCTGACACGCCGTGATATAACTGGAATATTGTTAAAAGCGGCGTTAAACCCAACTCACTCATTCACTGCACCCAGTGGGGATTCTCGGATACAATAGCTTCCCAGCTAACTATGCTGGTTGCAATAGGTTCACAGTTAATAAAAAAATAATGAATGGAAATGTTGGATGTTGGGGGGGGTTAAACCCAATCCAATTACCGACTCTCTCCACAGACGAAAGAAAACAAGTAATTCTGAGAAACATTTATTTCATTACACATTTAAGAAATAAGAAATGTACAACATCGTGAGTACACCCGTCCAGTAATCATTCATCACTGCCAAAACATGCTTATCCAATTATCTGAAATGGAGAAAACATATGACTGTATGAACAATCTCACTGAACTCACGAGGACGACTCTCCAGCTGACGAATGAATTCATGTGTTTATTAACGAAAGGGGGCTACCGGCCCATTCTACAAGATTTCCTTGCTGATTATTAGAATTACTTTGTTTGTTAAATTTCTGTAAGCCACTCCACCGCCTAGATAGTTTCAAACTTCTACCCATATGTCACACAGAATCAGCGAATAGGTGTCTGGAAAGTTTGGCATGGCTGCATGTTCAACTGAATCCCCATGATAATATTCCATGTCTGTTAGCCCCATCATTCACAACTTTGTGGCCAAGCCTTTGAACCATTATTGGTATACAGCCCGCCTTTAGCTATGTTTGTGTGTTTATTTGTTGTTTAACGCTGCACTCAGCAATATTCCAGCCAAAGACGATGGTCTGTTAATAATCGAGTCTGGACCAGATAATCCAGTGATTGACATCATGAGCATCGTTATACGCAGTTAGAATACAATGACTTGTATCAACCAAGTCAGCGACCCGATCATGTTAGTCGCCCCTTACAACAAGGATGGGTTGCTGAAGACCAATTGTAACACGGCTCTCCAAGAAAGCTTTTCATGCAGTTCATGGTTAGTTCTACACGGATTTGTAATACTACCCTCCCCGATCAACAACAACTACATGTGGCCGCTTTGCAGTATAGCCGCAGTTTAACTACTGAATCAAACGTATCACTTCGGGCTTTCCTCCCACATGAAGCTGACACGCCATGATATAACAGTAATCCTGTTAAAAGCGGCGTTAAAGTCAAAACATTAAGCCACTCACTCATCGAATCAAGCGACGGCTTGCTCAATGACGAAGCGACATTAAGGCTATAATTACTAAGTAATTATGTTGTAAATGTTTCGTCACTTTCAGGCTATAAACTCTAAACCACATCAACTGTGCTGGTATGACTGAACGTCAATACGATTGTATGTACGGATTGTTGGATACTCTGAAGAAACCATAATTATGTACACTTACAGCTGGCACGCCCGTCTTGGGAGCTGGAATATCAATGTTGGACATTGAGAGATAAACATGTCAAACACAAGTAATAACTATCATAGTATTATATAATAATCCCACCAAATAATAATCCTTCGTTTTATCACCAGCATCAACGGTGGTACAACCGTCGGTTTATGACTTCATAACAGTCTTCATTCTTTTAACGACATTAATGTCTTTGAAAATACATGAAGGATCTAAATATGGACATCGCTGGCATGCATGCAGACAAAGGGCATACTGGCTTGTAAGACACTTCTAATGCATGTAAATATGTTTACATTGTGCGACTTTTGTTTTTCAATAATATTTCTTGTTTCGAAACAAATGAGTGAGTGAGTATGGTTTTACGCCGCATTTAGCAATATTCCAGCAACATCAGGGCGGGGGAAACCTGAAATGAGTACCTATATGGGGAATCGAACCTTGGACTTCGGCGTGACGAGCGAACACTTTAACCACTAGGCTACCCCACCGCCCTGGTTTTTGAATTAACAAATGATTTCTGACTTAACACATCTGTCCAGTAAGCCAGAGCCACGCTGTACGTCATGTAAATAAACCAACTGCCTGACTAGACAGTTGTTCCTCAGGGTTTGTAGAGAGGGGTGGGAAGGTGATGGGAGAGGGGGAGGGGGGCTGCGGTGCCGGAGCGTCCATTGAATCTGTCTCACGTGACATTAGATCACACACTTACTGCATCTGACGCCGGCATCCTCGTTGTGCTTGCAGTGCATGCTGCCCCAGTGGACGATGCCATAGTAGCGGGGGCAGTTGGCGATGTTGCTCTCGGTGCCGTCACAACTGGGATCGTCGATCCAGATGGGGCCGCTCCCGCCCCCAAAGGCCTTGATAGAAGTCGACTTCCCAGGACTGAAGCACACATTGGGATACCATTAAACAGACATCGCTATTACGATAAACACGCATAATTATAAGTAACGTTAAAAAGGCCGTATGATGTCAAACAAGCATATGAATGACGTCAATCAGACATATCAATGAGTGAGTGAATGAATTGGGTTTAACGCCGCTTTTAACAGTATTCAAGTTATATCACGGCGTTTCAGCTTAATGTGGGAGGAAAGCCCGAAGTGATGCAGGTCTCAGACGTTTACCACTTCGGTGAAACCCACGAGCACGGGTATGGTGCTGACAAACCTAGAAACATAATCGGGGCGAACCGGGTTTCGAACCCACAATCATAGGTTTCTGGCGTGCCCAAGGGACGCAACTCTGCACAGCGAATCGCGGCGCCTTAGAAGACTGGGCCACCAGTGCCCCCTGACATATCAATGACGTCAGACAAACATAGGAATAACGTCAAACAGACATAGGAATGACCTCAAACAGACATAAGAATGACGTTATACAGACATAGGAATGACCTCAAACAGGCATGACGTCAAACAGGAATGACGACCTGCATCGCCACATCAATATTCAGTTAAGATGTGCAAACATCTAATAATAATGAAATGCTAAACATTTTATCCGGTATTTGCAAAACGATCTTTTAAATGATAATTAATACAATTACTAAAATCCGGAAAACCAGATTCTGATGCTGTCGTGTGTCACTGCTGCAAACGCTGACCTGTCGTCGTATCCCAACATCCTGCATACCACCGTAGCGGCGTTGTCGTCCCATGTGTCATCACAGATGGTGCCCCACTGGTTGTCATGCAAGATCTCAACCCTACCCTCCAAGGGAGACAACCCACCGTTCAGCCGGACACCGTCGGTCATCGCTGTGGACATACACTGAGTAAGTGAGTGAGTGACTTGGATTTAACGCTGCTTTGAATATGAATTAAATTTCTGGCAGGTTCTGACAGACCAAGGGGCAATCTCGAGGCGAGCCGAAGCCATACACAGCGGATCCTGGCACAGCTGAGGGAGACAATGCATACGTCAGGCTATGAAACGAGAAGCCCTTTCCCCGTTGAACATAATGCCCGGAGAGATCAAAGAAGAATTAAAATCTTCAAACAATCTTCAAAACTGGCCTCACAACTATTGTCTGAATTAACATTCACTCAAACTAATAATTTTGTATACGGTTGCCGAGTGGTGGATGTGCTTGGTATCACACTGAGTTCGGTCCGCGCGAGGGCCTTTCAATACGCTGGTCAGAAACGGTACTGAAGTGACTGGTTCCCTATCTTTTGAAGCGTACTTAAAATGTAAACGTTTACACAAAACTATAAATGAGTATGGTTTTACGCCACTTTTAGCAATATTCCAGCAATATTACGGCGGGGGACACCAGAAATAGTTCACACATTGTACCCATGTCAGGAATCGAACCCGGGTCTTCGGCGTGACGAGCGAAGGCTTTAACCACGAGGCTACCCCACCGCCCCCACAAAACTAAAACTCAATGTTTTGTAACATATTTTCACCAATTAATAAATCGACTGTAAACGCATATTGCTTTGCGATTTATGTGTATTCATTTAGATGTTGTATGTTAAGTGGACCCTATCTCTCTTTTCCAAAACGTTTCGGTTCTTGTATGGTTAAGTTGATTTAAGGTGGCATGTCAAGGTTATACATGTAAAAATAAACAAATTGATTCCGTGTCATTTGATTGGCTAGCCAAGCAATTGGTTTTGAGTTTTGTCTTTTAGGCCTGGCCCACAAACGTACCACTGTTTCGTGATTGGCTGATAATAGAATGGGCGGGGCTTGTGTTGCATTATAGCGCTAAACGATCTCAAATGATTTCGTATTGTTTACAGTGTGTTAATGATTAAATAAGCTGTGAAGTTATTGTTGACATATTTATTGAAAAGAAATTATATGTGTTTGCGTTTATGGAGTCATAAAGGTCAATGGCGTTGTGCATACTTTGAGTTGTGTGAACACCGACTTGTGCGTTTTGTGCGTCTCCATAAACGCAAAAACTACTGAAGTCCATTCTTAATTGTTTCAAAACAAACGTATCCTGCTGCAAGATGGATGTCTTGACTTCCCACTGTTGTCACTTCAGGAGTGATTTTGATCCAGTATCGTGCCTGCTCACCGATCTTCTGTGTCCAGATAAACGAGTCGACATCTGGCTTGCACTGCCTGTTGGAGTCGTTGTGTTTCTCCGCCCCCGTCGTGTAGCAGGCGCCGTCAATGTAGCAGCTGGCCGCCTGGTGACAGAGCAGTGTGCAGTCAGTATAGTGTGTGAGGTACAGACTGTAGTGTGTGAAGTACAGACTGTAGTGTGTGAAGTACAGACTGTAGTGTGTGAGGTACAGACTGTAGTGTGTGATTACAGACTGTAGTGTGTGAAGTACAGACTGTAGTGTGTGAAGTACAGACTGTAGTGTGTGAAGTACAGACTGTAGTGTGTGAAGTACAGACTGTAGTGTGTGATTACAGACTGTTGTGTGAAGTACAGACTGTAGTGAATGAAGTAAAGACTGTAGTGTGAAGTACAGACTAGTGTGTGAAGTACAGACTGTAGTGTGTGAAGTACGATAAGACTATAGTGTGTGAATTACAGACTGTAGTGTGTGAAGTACAGACAATAGTGTGTGAAGTACAGACTGTAGTGTGTGAAGTACAGACTGTAGTGTGTGAAGTACAGACTGTAGTGTGAAGTACATACTGTAGTGTGAAGTACATACTGTAGTGTGTGAAGTACAGGCTGTAGTTTGTGAAGTACAGACTGTAGTTTGTGAAGTATAGACTGTAGTGTGTGAAGTACTGACTGTAGTGTGTGAAGTACAAACTGTAGTTTGTGAAGTACAGACTGTAGTGTGTGAAGTACAGACTAGAGTGTGTGAAGTACAGACTGTAGTGTGTGAAGTACAGACAGTAGTGTGTGAAGTACAGACAGTAGTGTGTGAAGTACAGACAGTAGTGTGTGAAGTACAGACTGTAGTGTGGGAAGTACAGACTGTAGTGTGGGAAGTAAAGACTGTAGTTTCGGAAGTACAGACTAAGGTGTGTGAAGTACAGACAGTACTGTGTGAAGTACAGACTGTAGTGTGTAGTACAGACTGCAGTGTGAAGTACAGACTGTAATGTGTGAATTACAGACTGTAGTGTGTGAATTACATACTGTAGTGTGTGAAGTACAGACTGTAGTGTGTGAAGTACAGACTGTAGTGAATGAAGTAAAGACTGTAGTGTGAAGTACAGACTGTAGTGTGTGAAGTACAGACTGTAGTGTGTGAAGTACAGACTGTAGTGTGTGAAGTACAGACTGTAGTGTGGGAAGTACAGACTGTAGTGTGAAGTACAGACTGTAATGTGTGAAGAACAGACAGTGTGTGAAGTACAGACTGTAGTGTGAATTACAGACTGTAGTGAATGAAGTAAAGACTGTAGTGTGAAGTACAGACTGTAGTGTGTGAAGTACAGACTGTAGTGTGTGAAGTACAGACTGTAGTGTGTGAAGTACAAACTGTAGTGTGTGAAGTACAGACTGTAGTGAATGAAGTACAGACTGTAGTGTGTGAAGTACAGACTGTAGTGTGTGAAGTACAGACTGTAGTGTGTGAAGTACAGACTGTAGTGTGTGAAGTACAGACTGTAGTGTGTGAAGTACAGACAGTAGTGTGTGAAGTACAGACTGTAGTGAATGAAGTACAGTGTGGCCATCTCGTCCGGATTGCAAGGGTCCTCTGTAAAGTAACACTGTATGACAAACCCTACACTATACAAACGTAAACACATCCAGGCTATAACCACACATGACCTGTCTAGTTAATATCACACCTTGAGCGTGCACGTCTCCGTGGTGATGTTGCACTGGTGGCATCTGGAGTCGTGTGCGACAAAGGTGAAGTTGCTGCTGTAGGAGAAGCCGTTGTTAGTGACGGCCACGTGGTAACCATGGAGACCAAGAGTGTGGGGGATGAACGCCATGTTCGTCGCCGACGGGAAGTCGCACGCCACCTGTGACAGATGACGAGTGAGTGAGTGAGTGGGATGGGTGAGTGAGGGAGTGTGTTTGAACGAGTTAAGGTATAAGGATCTATACCGAAACGTCCCTTTTCCCAGTATTAAAAAAGTTGTTATTCATAAAAATTGAGTCTATCTTGTCATCCGTCAACTTCTAAGTAATGCCTATCAAACATTTGATGTCATAGTGTCGCAAATTACAACGCTAATTGATTTTTGTAAGGAAAATCGTTCACCTGTTTGAAGTTTTCAAATTCTGCAGCGACGTCGGTTGACCTTCCGTCCACTTGGACGGCCTTCTCGCTCACCTGGTGGGAGGAAGGTCGTACACCAATAATACCAGTGATACTTCAGTCAGTTACACACTAAACCTGAAGAACAGGCTAAATAGCATCTTGCATATTTTGTTGAAGAAAGAGTTTGTTTGTTTGTTGTATAACGCCACACTCAGCCATATTCCAGCAATATGACGGCGGTCTGTAAATAATCGAGTCTGGACTAGACAATCCAGTGATTGACATCATGAGCATCGATCCACACAATTGAGATTGATGACATGCATCAACCAAGTCAGCGAGCCTGACTATCTGATCCCGTCAGTCGCCTCTTACGACAAGCATAGTCACCTTTCACGGCAAGCATGGGTTGCTGAAGTCCTGAAGAAAGATGCCTCATTAAAACTATTACCAAGATATCGTTTTCCCCAGTACATTGTAATACAGACATAACACACTGACTTGTCATACAATGGTTGTGACGATCAGATGGTTTTTGGAAACGCCAGGTTCGTTTTCAGATTTTGACACGTGACATTTAAACAAGTTGAGTGTGTGTTAGTTTGGTTTAACGTCCACAGCGATGTATCACGGCGTGTCAGTTTGATGTGGGAGGAAACCTCGAAGAGATGCAGGACTACACTTTGGCGTCGCCCACAAGCACGGGTATAGTGCTGACAAACCTAGAAACATACTCAGGGCAAATCCGGAATTCGAACACACGATCATAGATTTCTGGCACGCCTTAGAAACTCCACTCAGCCCAACGATAGAGGCGCCTTTGACGACTGGGCCACCCGTGCCCCGCTGACAATTTTAAGGGATGAGACAACGTCATCGGTTGACGACATCACCTACCAGGATCTCCGTGATGCGACACTTGAGTCCAGTCGAGTTGTAGAAGTTGTCTCCGTACACGAAGGTGGCGAGACACGTGCTGTTGGCGACGTCACACAGCCCGTCACGTGACAGTCTCGTGACACGTGGCGGTAGGTTCAAGTTGACCGAGCAGTCATCTTCCACAAACCCAGAGTCGCATGTGCAAATACCTGAATACATATACTAGCACACTGCTGACAAAATAAATACGCACGTTTTTATTGTAACTTTACGAAGCACATAAAACAATCAGTTGTGTAATGATTATTGATCAAATGAGGAGAGGTGAAATTAGGACATATCTTATCTCTCACACAGTGCACGTGTCCACTACACACACACAGACATATCTTACCTCTCATACAGTGCACGTGTCTACTACACACACACAGACATATCTTACCTCTCACACAGTGCCCGTGTCTACTTTACACACAGACATGGCTCACCTCTCACACAGTGGCCGTGTCCAATACACACACATACATGTCTCACCTCTCACACAGTGCCCGTGTCCACTACATACACAGACATGTCTCACCTCTCACACAGTGGCCTTGTCCACTACACACACAGACATATCTTACCTCTCACACAGTGCCCGTGTCCACTATACACAGAGACATGGCTCACCTCTCACACAGTGCCCGTGTCCACTACATACACAGACATATCTTACCTCTCACACAGTGCCCGTGTCCACTACACACAGAGACATGGCTCACCTCTCACACAGTGCCCGTGTCCACTACATACACAGACATGTCTCACCTCTCACACAGTGCCCGTGTCCACTACACACACAGACATGGCTCACCTCTCACACAGTGCCCGTGTCCACTACACACAGAGACATATCTTACCTCTCACACAGTGCCCGTGTCCACTACACACAGACATGGCTCACCTCTCACGCAGTGGCCTTGTCCACTACACACACAGACATATCTTACCTCTCACACAGTGCCCGTGTCCACTACATACACAGACATGTCTCACCTCTCACACAGTGCCCGTGTCCACTACACACAGAGACATATCTTACCTCTCACGCAGTGGCCTTGTCCACTACATACACAGACATGTCTCACCTCTCACACAGTGGCCTTGTCCACTACACACACAGACATATCTTACCTCTCACACAGTGCCCGTGTCCACTACATACACAGACATGTCTCACCTCTCACACAGTGGCCTTGTCCACTACACACACAGACATATCTTACCTCTCACACAGTGCCCGTGTCCACTACATACACAGACATGTCTCACCTCTCACACAGTGCCCGTGTCCACTACACACACAGACATGGCTCACCTCTCACACAGTGGCCGTGTCCACCACACACAGAGACATGTCTCACCTCTCACACAGTGCCCGTGTTCACTACATACACAGACATATCTTACTTCTCACACAGTGCCCGTGTCCACTACATACACAGACATGTCTCACCTCTCACACAGTGCCCGGGTCTACTATACACACAGACATGTCTCACCTCGCACACAGTGCCCGTGTCCACCACACACAGAGACATGTCTCACCTCTCACACAGTGCCCGTGTCCACTACACACAGACATGTCTCACCTGTCACACAGTGCCCGTGTCCACTGCACTCATTGGGACATTTGGCTTCTTGAAGGATAGCGTCTCCTACTGACATAGTTGACCCCGGCTGCGCCTTCTCCCAAACCTCCGTATTGACGTCGAGGACGTTGACGCACTGTCCTTTGATCAGCTCCAGTGCGATCGGCACCCAGTCTGTCGTCCCGGTAAGCTGTCGAGAACAGGGGCTGGAGTCTTGCGTTCTTCACTATCGTCATATCATACTTACACGAGCATTATTTTTGTTCGTTTGTATTTTAACGCCGCGCTCAGCAATATTCCAGCTATATGACGGCGGTCTGTAAATAAGTCTGGACCATACAATCCAGTGATTAACTTCATAAACATAGACCTACGCAATCGGGATACGATGACATGCATCAACCTAGTCAGCGAGCCTGACCACCCGATCCATTTAGTCGCCTCTTACGACAAGCATGGGTTGCTGAAGACTTATTCTAACCCGGATCTTCACGGGCGACCAACAACAGTAACGCTATAGCGATGAAAACAAGGAGTAGGGTTTGTCAAGTTAGTTAGTTACTGGTTTGGACGGTAATTTTGCAGTGCTTCGGCGACTGTTTTCAGCCTTTTAACATTTTGATAACGTTTGTATTTTTTTATCAACAACCAAATTATGAAAGGAGCCGAAACTGTATTTCTGCAACAAATAGTATTTTTTTGTTTTTAAAGAATTCCACCACAAAATCAAATATTCGATCCCTCATTTTTATCTGACGTGGATTATTGTTTGTTCATGGAGTCACTGGTTTGCCTGCGAAAGATTTAATTAGTTACAAACCGCCGTAAAATTGCTAACTGTGGCGTTAAACAGCATTCATTCGCTGAAACTACAGTCTAATTCACTATACGTCCTCTTCCCGATGCAAGGGCGTTAACTGACTATAAATCTTCAGTTTTCACCCTTGCCGAACTAGGCTAGAATTTCCATTCTTGATCGTAGCGCCACTGGTTGCTATTACGAGTTATGTCCCTTCTTATTAACCAATCAGATTCACCTGTCATATCATTTGCATTTGCTTCAAACAAAATGGCGGCGTCCAGTCAAGACGATCTGATGGATAATCAAGATCTATATTGTAATAAAACGGGTCTTACCCTGCGAAGTGTATCAAATCAAGTGGGCACATTGATTAAAAACATGAATAGATTTGCATAATATCTGTCGACGCCCAGTTGACGGTACACGTGCTCTGCAAATCCTGCAGTCGACCGTAATTTGCACGTTGAAATCCATGTTGTTTACGAACCGGACGTCGATTTCGTTCCGCGATTTTGATTGGACTATGAATGGACTCGTTAGTCCAGCCAAAATATAACTCCATAATTGCAGCCTAGTTGGCAAGGATGGAAAGTGGACTTTTATAGTCAGATAACGCCCTGTCCTTGCCTCGGGAAGATGACTATGTATAGAATTTGCCTTGCCTTTGTTTGGTGGACTCGACTGTTACTGGAAATGATAGAACTGTATTGGGACAATGAACAGGAACTAAAATAGCAGAGTCGACGTCAGCACTTACCACGACGTCGGCAGCACAATCGTCGAGGACGCTGCCAATTGTGACGTCAGGCAGCTCCACACACTTGTTGAAGGAACGGTACTGGCGGAATATCTCCAAACATTTGGCTCGTGCGGCAGTCTTTGTCCAGCTGCTTCGCGCCACACGCTAAGAAAAGGAATAAAGGTGACTTTACCAGTATGGTTCTAAACTGACTTTTGGCATATCCGTTTGGCATATCCTTTGGTGTGTGTGTGTGTGTGTGTTTGCACACACTTGTGGGTTGTGTCTGCGGGGTGTCTGTGTGCACTTAAAATGCAAACTGACACTACATATTTTGCGAGACAATTTGGGCTTCTTTCTCAAGTTGTCAAGAAAATGTAACTTTTGTCACCAAGTGATATCGTTATTGTTCATACGTCAACATGCTTCAATAATCGGGTACGCACTCCTACACCCCGGCGCAATTAATTAACCGGAAGTTAGGATCACACTTCTAAGATTGTGGGAATATACATTGCGTCACAATGGTTATGGACTGCCTTCGCGGTCAAGTGGTAGAGCGTCTGCCCGGAGAGCGGAAGGTCAAGGGTTCGATCCCCGGACGCGTCATACCAAAAGACGTTAAAAGATGGTACTTGTTACCCTGCCTGGCGCTCGGCATTGAGGGTAAAAAACAAGGACAGGTTGGCTCAGGGTCTGTATACTGAGTCTGAGTGAGGAATTCATGTTAAACTGCGGCATGGTTTCTCAGTGGGCTAGCACTATAAAATCTTTAAAATCTTTGATATGGGAAAACATTATTTTATTCATTGAGGTGAATTCCGACCCTTACGTACCTTGACGGGTGGAGTGTCATCAATGACGTCATCATAGGGTTCGTGTTCCTCCATGAGATGCAGGTCCCGGCGACGACGATGCTCGCATGGTTTCGACGTCCACTGGATGTTGGAGCAGCTGTAGGCTTCCCTCCAGTCGCAGGTGACGCTGCCCACGAAGGCAGCATGCCCGGGGCTGCGGTTGTTTCTGGCGCAGAGACACAGGTAGGCGGGAGGGTCCACCACCCCCGGGGCGGCTTGGATGAACGCATTACTACCCCCAACGTTACTATGACTACAAACAAACAAGACTGGAAGCTAGTGGAGCCTTGTGAAGTCAGCACAAACCTAGAGTCAATGAGTGAGTGCGGTTTTACGCCGCTTTTAGCAATATTCCAGCAATATCACGGCGGGGGACACCAGCAATTGGTTTCACACACTATACCCATGTGAGGAATCGAACCCCGACCCTCTGTGTGACGAAAGCTTTAAACACTAGGCTACACCTCTGTGCAGCATATACGTCGAGGGAAAGGGTGACCCAGTCGTCTAAGGCGCCTCAATTCGCAGTGTAGAGTTGCGTCCCTTTGACGTGCCATAAATTGGTTGGTTGGTTTGTTGTTTAACGCCGCACTCAGCAATATTCCAGCTATATGACGGCGGTCTGTGAATAATCGAATCTGGACCAGACAATCCAGTGATTGATATCATGTGCATCGATCCACGCAATTGGGACCGATGACATGTATCAACCAAGTCAGCGAGCCTGACCACCCGATCCCGTTAGTCGCCTTTTACGGCAAGCATGGGTTGCTGAAGACCTATTCCACCCCGGAATCTTCACGGGTCGACGTGCCATAAATATCGGATGCTGGGTTCGAGCCTCATCTGATTATGTTCCTTGGTATGTTACCACCAGACCGGTGCCCGTGGATTTGACTAAATTGGCTAACTTCTGATATCTGGAGCCCCTAGGTCTTTGCTCCACATTTAAAGGCCGTGATTTATTTACAGTTCTGTTCAAGGCCCTGTAAGACCCAACTTAGACTGCAAAACCACATTAAAAATCCTATTTAACTATTATAAATCATAACTTCTAATTTATCTGTCGCCTATTAAATGTGGCGTGATATTCTAGGACATATGCATTAACCTCTGATTCACACTACAGACCCTAGGTCATCGCGAGTGACCAAAACATTGATGCTTGACAGCATTCGTAGCGAAATTTGACAGTTGACAGTCGTCAAGGGCGTCGTGACTCGCTTGTTGCGGGTTCGTGTTCCAAATAGGCCACGATTTTGTAAGCACAATACCAATCCCGTGGAGACCCAGGTTAGAACTGATCCCAAACACTCTACTGCTCGTAGTAAGAGGTGGCTAAATTGGACCGGATGGTTAGTTTCGAGGACTCGATTGTGTTACATGGCAGTGTGATTTATTGTTAAACAATCTTGTAACTGCATTACACAGTTTCTGTAAAGATTCAGTAGAAGTTCAAAGCATTGTGTTTTGACAATGATTAGTAGTTAGGAATGTAGAACGTACTATCTAATGTAAGGTTTTGTTTGTTTTATTTGTTTGTTGTTCAACGCCGCGCTCAGCAATATTCCAGCTTTATGACGGCGGTCTGTAAGTAATCGAGTCTGGACCAGATAACCCAGTGACTGACATCATGAGCATCGATCCGCGCAAACATAGTCGCCTTCGGCAAGCATGGGTTGCTGAAGACCTATTCTACCCCGGAATCTTCACGGGTCTCTAATGTAAGAAGTGGTGTGGAAGTTACTATATTTAGTTAAATATTTGGAGTCAAGTGTAATCTAGAATCTTCCGGAACAGCTAGACTACTCCAACAGTATAGAAACGTTTAGGAGGTATTTAGACCATAAAAGGGGACACGTGTGTGCCTCTTTCATCTCACATTACATCAAGACCAGCGGTTGTATAAAGATCATTGTTTTCACCCTTGATATCCAGCCAAAGCCTATTTTGGAAGCTGCTAGGTAAATATTATTATCCTTATAAGCATTGCCATAACCACTGTATATTATTCTGCCATTGCGATTGTATTGCCATTGAATTTTGTACTGCCACTCTATCGTGTACTGTCATTGTAACTGCTGTGCAGTAACTTGTATTGATTTGTAAACCTAATAAATTTTATAATACAATGGTTATTTGTATACCATTTGTTGGTTGTTTGTTGGTTTCACACTGAATTATTTTACGTACAGATTTCCGGGTTAACGTATTGTTTCACTTTGGAAGTGGACACGTAACAATTGATTGCATGTATTCGTGCCCCTGACAGCGTGGGACCCGTCGGTGATAAGATCAACCCCAAGTCTGTCTAGCCAAGGGTCCATTATTTACACGCCGTTGTCATATCGCTGGCATGTTGTTGACTGCCGCCGAAAACAATTAACAACAAAACAAAGAAATAGCACTCCTCATTCTCATCTCTTTGGTTTGTTTGTTGTTTAACGCCGCATTGAGCAATATTCCAGCTTGTAAATAATTTAGTCTGGACCAGTGATCGATATTGTGAGCACTAGTGAGGTACGTGGACAAACAATCAATCAAAGTCACCTAGTCTGAACACCCGACCAACATAAGTTGCCATGGCCCTTTTCTAACCCCGAATCCACACAGAGTCATCTCTTTAGAGATTTCCCGAGGCAAGAGAGTTAACCGACTATACAAATCCATTTTCCACCATTGCCGAACTAGGCTGCAAATATGGAGTTATATTTTGGCTGGACTAACGAGTCCATTCATAGTCCAATCAAAATCGGGGAACGAAATCGACGTCCGGTTCGTAAACAACCTGGATTTCAACGTGCAGATGTCGGGCGACTGTAGGATTTGCAGAGCATGTGTAATATCAACGGGGTGTCGACAGATAATTTGCCATTCTTTTCATGATTTTAATCAAGTTGCTCACGCGATTTGATGCACTTCGCGAGGTAAGATCCCTTTTATGCCATTATATGTCTTAATCAGCGATCAGATCGTCTTGACTGGGCGCTGCCAATTTGTTTGTAGCAAATGCAAGTGATATGAGAGGTGGAATCTGATTGGTCAATAGGAGGGCCATAGAAGGGACATAACTCGTAATAGCCACTGGTGGCGCTACGTCCGACCCTGGAAATTCCAGTCTAATTTGGCAAGGGTGGAAACTAGACTTTTACAGTCAGCTAACCCATTTGACGCGGGAAGATGCTCTTTGGACTTTCTCCAACATTAAAATGACACGCAGTGATATTTAACAGAAACACGGTTTGAAGCAGCGTTAAACACAAAGCACTTTCTCACATTGATTCGTGACCAGACCCAGAAGCAATGAGTTGGCTTACAGATAGCGTGAAGCCAGGACTATGTTGTCGTCGGATGATCTACCGTTGAAGTTCCCGCACAGGCCTTCCGTGTTGGCCACGTCTGCTGGGGAAGCGAAGATCTGGATGTTGAAGCGGTTAAGGGATGTGTAGGAGAGCTCTACCTTCGTTCCCGTCGGCATGACAACCTAGGGAGACATGTGCAACAAATGAAGGAATGACTTAGGTATTTAGGACACATCCGTTGTTTTGGTTTCACACAGTAACCGATCGCGCACCATAACCGCGCATTGTTGAAGTATTGTACACTTTTCAAGATCTGCTCCGGAAACGAGCACTACTCCAATTTTCATGTTGCCATGGAAACCCAAAAGATATTTTCTTTTAGAAAATCCCAAACTATCAATAGGCACCAGTTCACAACTAGACCTATCTTTTAAGCCATGTTTGGTGAAGAAAGATTTTACGGTTTTCAGTATCTGCTCCGGAAACCAGCACTGCCGCAATTTCCAGCATACGACAAAGCTGTTGCCAAGGAAACACGAAAAGTAGCTTTTAAAAAACCACAAACTATCAAAAGGCACCACTTCACCACTATAGACCTATTAAAACAAAGCCCAAGTTTAGGGAACAAATATTGTACGGTTTTCAAGATCTGCACCGGAAACGAGCACTACCGCCATTTCCAGCCTTTGTCGAAGTTGTTGCCATAGTAACTCGAAAATATTGTTTTCGAAAATCCTAAACCGTCAATAGGCAGTTGACCACTAAACCTATCTACGTCCCAAGTCTGATGTAGAAATATTGTACGGTTTTCAAGATCACTGAATCCATCAGGAGTCAGCATCATGCACGAACAGATAGTGTCCATTTCAATAACCCCCACCCCTCCGGCAAAACGCATTGCGGGGGATAACAAACCTCAGCCTAGAGGTTAAAGCGTTCGAACGTCTCGCCGAAGGTCCGGGTTCGATTCCCATTATTGGTACAGTGTGAAGCCCACTTCTGGTATACCCCGCCCTGTCAACCAACCTGATATCGTCTTCCGGAAGATATTTGAGAGACCTCGAGGTAGCTGTTGGGGCTACATCCGTCTCTCTTGACGATCCACTGATTCATACACGCGTACACCATGAACATGTCTTTGCCGGCGTGGATGGCGACTGCACAGCTACAAGTGCCGTAATGACATGTTTCTGTCTTGGTCATAACCTGCACACACAAACACAGTGGACAATTGGCAGCTTGAAAACCTTGATCAACATCAACACCTTAATTATTTTTTTTAAATTGGGGGAGGGGAAGGATCACAAAAAAATGAACAATAATACAATTTCTGAATGATAATAAATATTTTTGGATCACTACAATCGTCTGATTATTTTTCATAGATACGACCTAATCATAATAAACTCCTAATTCGTAACACGTTCGAAAGAGAAATTTGACTTTACATCAAATTATTCACTGCGAGTATGTTTGTGACGTCATCACGTCACGGATTCTTGGACAAGACAAAATGTACGAGTATCGGGTAAAACATCGTGCAATAAAGACACATTGAAGCTATGAATTTTGTATAATAAAGTGGTAGAAAAGTCAGATTCATACTGAGACATATAGCTACCGACTGCTTTGTTTGTTTCATTGTCACATGACACAGTAGATGGGCGTTGGGTGAGAAACACTTAGAGATGCCTTTCATCTCTGGTATACTTGTATAGAAAGGTGTCTTTTAGTGAAAAATACGAACAATTTGGCTTTGACATATTCCTGTTGTCAAATTTGATGTGCTTTTCCAGGTCCGTAAAAATGATGTTATACTACAGTTTGGAAAACTAATGGGAATACGTGTCACAATCTGATTGGTTGAACATCGTTGGTAAACAGCATTCGAACCCCGGAAATCTTGAGCACTGAGTCTCTCTTCGGTCCGAAATTCTTTTCGGCGAGATTATTTTATTTGTTTGTTTGTTTGTTGTTTAACGTCGCACCCAACAAGTTTCCAGCGATATGATGTCGAGCCTGGACCTGACAATCCAGAGATTCACATCTTGAGCACCAAGACAAGCATCAACCAACTCAGCGAGTCTGACCACCCGACCTCGTCAGTCGCCTTTAACGACAAACATGGGTTGCATCATCAGGAAAGAGAGTTAACTGAGTTTAAAAGTTCAGTTTCCACCCTTGCCAAACTAGGCTGGAATTTCTGGGCTCGATTGTAGCGCAGCCAGTGGATATTACGAGTTATGTCCCTTCTAAGCCTCTCCTATGGAGTAATCAGATTCAACCTCTCGTACCACTTGCATTTATTTCAAACAAAATGACGGCGCCCAGTCAAGACGATCTTATCTATAATCAAGATCTACAGTGTGATAAAATGTGTCTTACATAGCGAAGTGCATCAAATCACGTGAGCACCTTGTTAAAAAAACATGAACAGATTTGAAAAATATATGTTGACAACGAGTTGGCGGTGCACATAAACTAATGTCCAAAAGAAACGATACCACACATTTTTCTAAATATTTTATTATGAAGAGTTAATTTTCGTCTGAAAAGGTACTTTTGCGTATCCTACGTTCCAAAACAAACGGATTCGGTCGATAAAACCGGGAACATTTGATCAATTGAGAAAAAAGCGTGCAATTTGCCCAAATGACGTTCCGTCCCGTAACACGAAATGCACGTGCATATCTTCTGTATAAAACTGCTGACCCGACACGTTGGGATCACAGCAACAAAAAGCACACAAAAGAAATGCAACGTTTGACAGCGATTGAGAGAGAGAGAGCCGCAGGAATGCTCCAACAGGGAGCTACGCACCGCGACGTCGCCAGAAGGTTAGGATGCGCGCGCATAACCGTTACCAGGTTAATGCAGCGGTTGCGTCAAACAGGTCGGACAGCAGACAGGCCGAGAACCGGGAGACCACGGGTGACCACGCCCGCCACATCCGGGTACTTCACCTTCGGAACCGCTTCGTAACGGCGACGTTAACGGCACGGACGGCACTGGGACACGTGATAAGTCGACACACCGTGTACAGGAGACTGCTGGCACATGGTATCCGAGCACGTCGCCCCTACCGCGGAGCGTTCCTGACACCTCAACACCGACTCAACAGACGGATATTGGCCAGGCGACTTCGACGGTGGCAACGGTGGAACTGGGCACGTGTCATGTTTTCTGACGAAAGCAGATTTTGCATCTTCAGGAACGACGGCCGGCAGCGTGTAAGAGTAGGTGAACGTTTGGCACCGAACTGCATCCATCAAGTCAGGCCATATGGAGGCGGATGTTTAATGGTTTGGGGTGGAATCTGCGGTGACGTCAAAACGAGACTCGTCGTTATTCGAGGAAACCTGAATGCGCAGCGTTATCGTGATGACATCTTACAACCAGTTGTGGTGCCATTCATCCAACAACAGCTTAATGGTATCATTTTCCAGCACGATAATGCGAGGCCTCACACGGCAAGGCTGACCCAGAACTTCCTAGCAAACGCCAACATTCACGTTTTACCATGGCCGGCATGTTTACCGGACATGAACCCAATCGATCACATGTGGGACATTCTCGGCCGCAAAGTCAGGAATCGCCCTGTGCCTCCAGTTAACCTCCAGGAATTGGAACAATGCCTCCTCCATAAATGGCAACGCATAGTATCCCAGAAGAAACAGTGCTGACTTTATCATGTAGATATATTTCTTAAATAATCCAAAGGGTAGCACTTTGGTGTATTACTGGTTATTTTGGACGATGGAACAGTTTGACGACACACCGCTTGAGATCAACAAATCATCGATCGAGGCATGAAAGATTCCTGTGGTCATGGTATTTCGATCCGAAAGCAACACGTTGACATACAGTGGTAATGAACAACAAAAATGACTTTTTACGAGTAAAATTATGACATTAATGATATATGTATCCATTCTCTGACATGTAATTATAACGTCAGTTTCAAGGCGTCAATAGCATATACACAAGAAGACAGGGTACACGTTAAAACTGGCGATTTAGTAAAGTACTTTGGCTGTATGACGCCACTCAACCTTACCGACAGGGGTTTATGAAGGTGACGGTACAATGTGTACACACCAACAGCGGTAGTGTCGTAAGATCTGAAAAAAGGCAGAATAATTTCTATATGAATGACTTGTAAAAATAGCCATGATAAGAATAGAAGAATTATGACAACACACATGCTTCAACACGATAAACTTCGCCTCCTTGTATACGTCTTCCCGAGGCAAGCGTGTTCACTAGCCTATATCAATGCAGAGTTTCTACCCTTGCCACACCAAGGCCACCTCGCGTAGATCACGAGTTGTGCCCCTTGTGCAGCTTCACAAAGATGGCGACTACCTAGGCGACGACTTTGTCGATCAGATAACGAAAACATTCGCGATTTTATCCCTGAGGAAGGGGGGAGGGGAGTTGTTGGTTGGTTTGAAAGATGAAAAAGACAAATTTATGTCAACAAAGACAGGCAGCGGAAAATCACTTACAGTAAACTACGGTTATAACGAACTCAAAGGGACTACTATTTTTAGTTCGTTATAACCGTAGTTCGTTATAAGCATATATACAGCATAACTACAGCAAATAGTCGGGACTAAAAAGTAAGTTCGTTATATCCGTCAGTTCGTTATAAGCGTGTTCGTTATAACCGTAGTTAACCGTACGAAGGGGTACCAGTATGTTGACTTTGTGAAACGTTCTCTGATTGGACTATCGATATATGTGCGATGGTCCAATCATATTAAGCACAGGTAAGTGGGCTTCATGTGGCAAGGGTGGAAACAAGACTTTCATAAAAAGGCTAGTGAACGCTCTGGCCTCGGGAAGATGCCTCGTAAAAACCTAATTATAGAACCCAATTCCTTCTTCCCACACGGAGGTCATGTTGAAATATATAACAGTACTGGCAGTCCGACGTGTTCTTATTCAAGATAACGTGTCTTATGGTACCGTTATGTACTTTACAGATGTAGTGTTAGGCAAACATATTCTGAAATGTTCATTTTTCATAATATATTAGATTATGGGTCATGTTCATACGAACTATACTTGAAATTAATTCCTCCATGGCGGTCAAATTTGACTTTTTTGACGGCCCCAATGTCTTAATTGATTTGGAATGTCATAACCTACAACTCTCCCAAGTGTCATGACCAGTGAAGATCTGGGGTAGAATAGGTCTTCAGCAACCCATGCTTGCCGTAAAAGGCGACTATGCTTGTCGGAGGAGGCGACTAACGGGATCGGGTGGTCAGGCTCGCTGACTAGGTTGATGCATGTCATCGTTTCCCAATTGCGTGGATCGATGTTCATGATATTAATCACTGGATTGTCTGGTCCAGAATCGATTATTTACAGACCGCCGTCATATAGCTGGAATATTGCTGAGTGCGGCGTTAAACAACAAACCAACCAACCCAAGTTTCATGCTTTTATCAAGGAAAATGCGAAGTAAGACAATGCCTGAGTGAAACGGACTGTGTACCGCACAGGGTTAAATGATTTGCAGAAATGTTTGTTTTGCATTGACACTTACTCAAAATAGTTCCTGGTGGGTGATCTCACTTGCCTATTTATAGGATCGTGATAACAAGTGTCTCGGGTTGGTTTATCACATCGATAACACTATCCATTATATGAGAACTTACATATTGGTCTTGCGGAACTACAAGTTGCTGTTTGGAACCAATATGTGATAATATGTGATAATATATTTTCACCTTTCATTGAGCGATATATACATGTATTTGTCGCCGGCACTTACCCTCCGTCAAATGTGTTGATGTGGACGTCTGTGTGAGCTCTGCACTGATTCCTGACCACATTGCGGTTCCTGTCTGTCACATGTGTCTGAAAGACCAACAGTAGAAGACTTGTTCGTTTTTTATTTGACGCATCTTCCCGAGGCAGGGGCTTTAACTGACTATAAAAGTGCAGCTTTCCCCCTTGCCAAACTAGGCTGGAATTTCCAGGCTCGATCGTAGCGCCACCAGCGGCTATTACGAGTTATGTCCCTTCTATGGCCCTCCTATTGACCAATCAGATTTCACCTCTCATATCACTTGCATTTGCTTCAAACAAAATAGCGCCCAGTCAAGACGATCTGATAGATGATAAAGAACTATTTTGTAATAAAACGGGTCTTACCCCGCAAAGTGCATCAAAACACTTGAGCACCTTGATTAAAAACATGAAAAGAACGGCAAAATATCTGTCGACGCCCAGGTACACATGCAAATCTTGCAGTCTACCGAAATCTGCATGCAGGAAACCATGTTTAATAATAATAATAATAATAATAATAATAATAATAATAATAATAATAAGGCTATTTTTTAGCGCAAAATCCACATGACTAAGGGACATGCTCAATCCGCAAATTCAGCATATGTAAGATAATAAAAATATACACATTCAGTTGTAGCGTTAAAAAAAAGTATGTTTTGAGTCCAGATTTCAACACATTAATACCAGGTGCACTAAACCGGATGTCTAGTTCGTTACGCGATTTTGATTGGAGTACGCATAGACTCGTTAGTCCAGCCAAAATGTAATTCCGGAATTCCCGCCTTGTTCGGCAAGGCTGGTAACTGGACTTTCATAGTCAGCTAACGCCCTTGCCTCGGGAAGATGGTTTAACGCCGCACACAGCAATATTCCAGCTTTATGACGACGGTCTGCAAACAATCGAGTCTGGACCAGACAATCAACGTAACTGGGATACGATGACATCCATCAACCACACCATCGTGTAACCATTAGGCAACCCTACCGCCCCCTGGGAACTGCAAGCGCATACAAGACGTCACGGTTGTAGCACAAAGTCTTGTTCAAAGAACAAACGAAGGTATGTCAAACGATCACTGGTTTCGTGCATAACACTTGGCAGATGTTGTTTAGCATTTTCTTTTGGCGTAACTGCCACGTGGGCTAAAAGGCTATTGCTAACACACAACTTGTAAAGGTAATTAAAAACACAAAAAAACACCTTTAACGGCAATACTTTTGATTAGAGTCTGCCTGGTTCGCTCAATTTTCAATTTTCATAATGTTACGAAATGCAGTCATATGTATCAAACCGCGATAAAAATTAAACAAAGTACAATTTCGGACATAATTTATATTCGGCCAAATCCAACTGCTTTCAATTCGAGGCTATATTTACTAGCATGGGTGTGGAAACTGAACCCTATCTTGCCTGCCTTTTTTAAAAAGCGTCAACTAAGCCCCTTTGAACAATTAAAAAAAACAAAGCTCTGCCTCGTACCCCCTACCTCCAGAATATCAATATATTAATAACTGACCTGTATTTCCGGCAGTTTGTAGTGAGACCAGAGTGGCAGGACCTTGCTGTAGTCTGAGGACTTGAGTCTGAGGACAGCCGGGGCCACGGGGTTCCGGTCACGGCCGTTGGTAACCGCCGTCACCCTCATGGACTGGGGGCTGTTCCATCGACTTCCGTCGAAGCTGAAGCCACACAGGCCGGGGACGTTCACGCTGGTCGGACCGGACACCATTGCGCACGTGGCGTTGGCTGAGGAGATGGTGCTCTCGAAATTGATGATGCAGCTGAATGGCACGTCGGTGATACAAGGAACGGGTATAGTAGAGGTGAAGGTCACGGAGACTGAGCTCCCTTCCGGTATAGTGTTGACGGGATTGGTTATCTGAGGATGAAGGATCATACCACTGATTCAAAATTGCATTAACATGGGTGCTCCCTTTGCATAACATTTGAGATGACCTTCACATGCTAACACACCTCTAAGTTCAATATATATCTTTTCTATAGAGGATAGGTATTAAATAATATTCTAAAGATCAACTTAATCTGATAAATTCAACTCACACAAAGACACATAATAATTGTCCTTTCAAATGTCCTCACTTTTCTCATAAATAAAATTTAGTTCTGTTCGTTATAGCTGTTTGCTAATTAAATATATTGAGGTAAAAATGGTTGCAAAGAATTTTACTCACTTTTATTCCAGCAAAGAAGTCTTCACTGGTGAACGTCTTGCTAGGTATTCCGCTCGCTGTTGTTTTGGCTTTAAACGAACACTTCACCTACAAGCAAACAAATTCATACAGCTCAGTAGGCCGCAGTTTTAAAGCTCTTCTCGAGGTGCTTTTGATGCCTGTAAAGTTGATAACATCATGCAGAGAATTTGTTATAAAACGATGAGGGACATTCATCACCTTTGCACATGGAATTAAACGACGATTAAACGATGATTGTTTTGAGATTCAAGATAAATGTTTACAGTGCAATGAGTGAGTGAGAGGGTTAGTTTGACCCTGTTTTCATTTATTATTTAACGTCCTTTAGCACACTATGTTACGCAGATGCTGTATAAGTGCAATCATCATCATCATCATGGTCGTCGACGTCTTCACCATCATCATCATCATCATCATCATCATCATCATCATCGTCGTCGTCGTCGTCTTTATTATTATCATTATTCACGGTGTGACATCGTATTGTGGAATAGAAAGCCCAAAGTGAAGCGACTCCACAAGTTAGGGACTCGTGCTGACAGTCAAAGGATTGCTATCCAAGTGAATCCCGGGTTCGAATCCCCATCTACCGTGCCACTGACTCACAGAGTGAACTGACCTACCGTCATTGGGAGCTGCCATCCAGCTTCCTGTATCAGGACGGTTGTCTGGTAGTACTGGGAGCTCGGAACATCGCGATAACTCTTGATTAGACGGTTGTCAATGTACCAGTCGACGTCGTACACATACGTTGTTGCTGTGTCGTGCAGACGGGTGCAGTTAAAGTGTAGTTTCCGCCCGCTGACGTCTCTCAACTTGTGGGATTTCACCCATGGCCGCACTTCCGCTTTTACGCTTGCCGACAGATGTGGAATCGCGGCTGATAAAATAAAGTGTATTACAAGGACGATTCAACGCAAATCATTTAAATTATTCAATTCATTATTTTCAATTAATGAATAGATTAGAATGAAAGCGAAATATTAAACTATATGTATGGGAAATATGAATTCCCATGTTCGCACAATGGCTATGATAATTAGCTGAAATAGAAAAAGAATTGCATACTTTGGACATGTTCTCGTGGAAACAAATCCTTGGTAATGAAATACCAGGTGGTTACCATGGTTACTCACTTGTGCATGGTTGGTACCCCGATATGGAACCTTGACCTGGTGGGCATTTCTCCAAGTAATCTACAAGGTAACGGTGTCATTGTTGTAATATACCTTGGGGTATTGCATTGTAAGCAATACATTAACGCTAATTATCACATAGGTGGTCAATTATGTCTGTATCATTTGGGTTTCATGAAAACAATACATCTGTCAACGTAAAGGTCGTTATGATACAGGGCGGTGGTGTAGTAGAGCGGTTAAAGTGTTCGCCTGGGTTCGATTCCTCACATGGGTACAATGTGAAAAGCCCATTTCTTGTGTCCCCCGTCGGAATAAATGTATTTCTAAACGCGGTGTAAAACCATCTAATTGACTGTCTGACTGACGTTATGACAAACTTTGTAAGGAATTGAGTGAAAAGTCACAGTTGGTGTGTATGTGGTGGCCCCATATGACGCACGTCTTCACGGTTACTGGGGGCACGGGTGGCCCAGTCGTCTAAGGCGCCGCGATCCGCTGTGCAGAGTTGCGTCCCTTGGGCACGCCAGAAACCTATGATTGTGGGTTCGAATCACGGTTCGCCCCGATTATGTTTCTAGGTTTGTCAGCACCAAACCCGTGTTCGTGGGTTTCACCGAAGTGGTAAACGTCTGAGACCTGCATCCCTTCGGGCTTTATTCCACATTAAGCTGACACGCCGTGATATGACTGGAATACTGTTAAAAGCGGCGTTAAACCCAACTCACTCACTCACTCACGGTTACTACTTTGGCGGAACCGCCGAGCACAGTGCTGCCAAACAAAGGTTCCATATCAGGATGAATCTATGATTTGAAGCCTCGTTCACAGGATCCTGGCGAGGTAGAGAGCGCCTTGCACCACCAACCATGCATCATATTTCATCATATACAGTCAGATTGAAGGTGACATGGGCACAGGTGATTCAGCAATGGAGAAAACATTTGAAAATCTGTTGATTCTTCCTCCCGAAATCTTGAGAATATGTTGATTCTTCTTCTGGAAACCATTGGAATCTGTTGATTCTTTTTCCGGAAACCATGGGAATCTGTTGATTCTATTTCCTGAAATCCTTAGAATCTGTTGATTCTACTTCCGGAAACCCCGAGAATCTGTTGATTCTACTTCCGGAAATCCCGAGAATCTGTTGATTCTACTCTCGGAATCAACAGATTCAAGTGATTTCTCCGATTTGAACCATGGTATAGTTGAGATGTAATTTCTCTATAATCTTGCATAATGACCTGTAGTTACGTCAGTTTTACACTTTAAGGATCGCCAGTGAATTCATGGCTCAGAACTAACTGCACCAACAAGAACGTGACGTCTTCATTACGGTTTACACACAGGTGTATGTCGACTCACCGAAGCAGTATTTCCCGGGGCAGCCGCTCAGCTTGTTGAGGAAGTACACACGGTATGTGCCGCAGTTCTTCACCCTCACCTGGAGCTGGGTCTCGAAGCACCCGATTATCCCCCGTTGGTAGGCCGTGCGGTTGACCACGCCCTCAGAGGGGGCGGGGATGGAACCTGTAGAGTGTTAGCAGAACAAGGTTGATAAAAAGTTTTACAATGCAAATCACCAATGTATACCAACTAACACGGTACTAATAACGCCCACTAATAACGTCCGCTAACAACAATGTTTCCCTTCACAACGACATATCCCCTAACAACAGCATATCCCAACAACAAAGTATTCCTAACAACGACATATCCCCTTTCAACACAGTATATCCCAACAACAAAGTATTCCCTAACAACGACACATCCCCTTTCAACACAGTATATTCTCAACAACAATGTATTCCCTAACAACGACATATCCCCTTTCAACAGTTTATCCCAACAGCAAAGTATTCCCTAACAACGACATATCCCCTTTCAACACAGTATATCCCAACAACAATGTATTCCCTAACAACGACATATCCCCTAACAACAGTATATACCAACAACAATGTATTCCCTAACAACGACATAGCCCTTAACAACAGTATATTCCAACAACAATGTATTCCGTAACAACGACATATCCCCATTCAACACCGTTTCTCCAAAAGAACTATGTATTCCCTAACAACGACATATCCCCTAACAACAGTATATCCCAACAACAATGTATTCCCTAACAACACTGAGTCTAGTAACAGTGTGTTCTCTAACCTCAATGTATCCTGCAACAACACTGTATCCCCTAACAACAGTGTATTCCCTAACAACACTGTATCCCCCAACACCACTGTATCTCCTAGCAATAACACTGCCCCTAACAACGACATAGCCCCTAACAACATTGAACCCACTGACAACACTGTATCGCCGCACAACATTGCAGATTACCAGATCCTGCCAAAGCAAAGAATTCAGAACAAAAGTGGTTCATACAATTGACTTCCACTGCTTCAAATTAAACGCCTTGGTAATGTAGAATACATTTGACGAGACTTGTTGAACAATGTCTAGCGGAAATTGCAGGTATAAACAGTCATCGGCCCAGTTTAACAGAAACAATAGCGAGACAACCAAACAATGTTGTAAAATTCTGCACCTCGTGGAGATGTATGTGTCAGCTAAACCCATCGTGTCTGGTTAGAATAAAAGTAAATCCAAAAAAATATTCTCACAGCTCTCGCCAGTTACTAATATAACACTTGGGAGCAAATAAATACAGATCAGACTGTCTACCTGCTCGCTATTACTACAATATATTACTCTGTCGAGATTACACCATATTTACTCAGTTGGGAAACCTGTGATTAAGGCTGTTGTAATATGTGATAACACTGCGAAGAGAGACCACCCGGGGTGCAAGGCGAATAATTACGACAGCAGCAAAATACTCACCGTTCATCCAGACGGGGAAGAGCGTCCCACAAGCTGAAATCTGGGGACAGTGAGAGTAGAGATCCCCAGCCCCGGAACCATCAAGTCGATACCTACAGGTGTTGATGTGAAACAGATAACTGAAACCAACACCTTCATCTCCGTTTGGGGGGGGGGGGGGGGGGGAGAGGAGAGTTTATATTTTGACGAATGTTCTATAATATCGCTGTATATCGTAGGACTCAAACTCATGAAAGAAATATATAATATAAACTCATAACCCTTTCATGTAAGGGTATTATTTATAACTAAACTAGCAGGGATGGATCAAAGATTTAAAGAAAAAGGGGAGTGGAGGTCAACTTCGGCCATTAGTCAGTGTGTGCGTGCGTGTGACGTTTTTTCACATTTCAAAAAGGGGTGTGTGGCTACAGCTAAACAAGGGCATTACTACAGCTAAACAAGGGCAATACTACAGCTAAACAAGGGCATTACTACAGCTAAACAAGGGCAATACTACAGCTCAATCAGGATATTGTTACAGCCACATTAGGACATATAAGGGCATTACTACAACCGAACATGGCTTTACTACAGTTAAACAAGGGCATTACTACAGCCAAACCAAGGCATTGTTACTGCCAAGCATTAACAATAGTTAAACTAGGAATTAGGGCATTAGTATTGCCGAGATAGCTTTAATTATTGCCAAGAATGTGCATTATTTACAGCTAAGGAAGAGCTTCATTACAGGTAGGAAAGGGCATTATTAATAAAAAAAAGACAATATTACTGTCAATAAGGTGCATTATTATTGATAAGCAACGACATTAGTTCAGCTAAGCAAGGGCATTATTGCTACTAAACACGGGCATTGTTACAGCTAAACGGGCATTGTTACAACTGAATACGGGCATTTCTACAGCTAAACAAGGGCATTACTACTGCTAAACAGGGGCATTACTACAGCTAAACAAGGGCATTACTACAGCTAAACAGGGGCATTACTACAGCTAAACAAGGGCATTACTACAGCTAAACAAGGGCATTACTACAGCTAAACAAGGGCATTACTACAGCTAAACAAGGGCATTACTACAGCTAAACACGGGCATTACTACAGCTAAACAAGGGCATTCAGATAGCGAAACAAGGCATTAATAGAGCCAAACAAGGCATTACAACAGCTGAACAAGGGAATTATTACTGCTAAGCATGGACAATAGTTAAACTAGGAATTAGGTCATTAGTATTGCCACGATAGCCTTAATTACTGCCAAGCAAGCACTTTATTACAGCTTGTTGCATTACTCGGCCTCTTTCGGCATATTCCGCTAATGTCCGTCGTGTTCCTACTCTACCAGTTGTTTCCATCCGGCAGGTAGTGGTCGCACTCGGCCTGTTCCGTCTGAGACAGGATATACGTGTACACTCGCTTGTCATGCTGCAGTGTCTCGTGGCTCAGACAGGGGTCGCTCTGACCTGCAATACCATCGGCCGTTTACGCGGGACTTCAAACAAGCCAAATAAGGTGAACTACATTGCAATCTTTATCAAAGGAAGCACGAATGCCCCTAGACTATCGTTTAGTCTTTGCACATATACTATTTTGAAACAAACTGAAAAGGAGCCCCAGTGAGGTCAGAGTTTCAGAACCTTGGGAAATCTAGACTTGCTTCATTTACGTCTACAGCAGTACAGTAGGGGCTTCGCGGGAGGGACATAATAATATTGTTCAGGGACTGCGAGACAATGCGCCGTCTTATAGACGTGCCAGTATCTTATGGTCATGGGTTCGAATCCCAGATTCGCCTTGACCATGATAGTCGGTGTGTCAGCACCATAGGTGTCGTACTCGTGGGTTTCATGAAAGTAGCAAACGTCTCCGAACTCACCATCTTCGAGACTTGCCAAGCTTTGTTTGATGTCGTTATTCATAAATAATTTAAAAGAGGCGTCTATTTTATGGAGGTAGCGAATGTCATATAACGCCGCAGGGACAAATCACGGCTGTATGTACATGGTAGAATCTGAACCAGACAAACTAGACTGTCTCCAAGACCCTAGACAATAAATTAAACAAGGAGTCCAGCTCAAGTGTAGAATGATTGAGCAATTCTAGATTGCCTCAGCTCTGCTCTGAAATTGAGCATTGCTCAGGGCTCCTTTTTTGAATGTATTATCTTTATTTTGTAGATATATTTTTTTTATATATAAGATATCAATTTTTCTGGGACTAAACGGCTGTCTACAGACAAACAAGTGGTTAAAAGCAATAGCAGCGATTAATCTAGGTACTTTGTCATGCAGTCAGCCCAACCACCCGATCCTCTTAAACATGGGATAGTGGGGACCATTCGTCACCACTCGCCCCTTTCCGTCACCAGAAGAAGACGCGTCCGACTATCATTCAGTCAGAGGCTATATAGAGGTTATCACGCGAGTGTATTTGGGGATGGTAAATATCCTGCATTAGGAATAAACATTGTATTTAGCGAGCCTTGGCGAGCTAAATACATAGTGTTTATTCCTAATACAGGATATTTCCCATCCCCAAACACACAAGCGTGATAACCTCTATATCATATAATGTCATTCTTTAATTCTGTGCTTTAAAATCGCTTTCCCTCTCTCACAAACATTACCGAAACATTGCGACTTTTCCTGAAATGCGTGCATTAATATTTATTACGTCACAGGGTAGGTGATGTGTCAGTCGGACAGTGACAGTAGCCGATATAGTTCCAACTGAAATCTGTTTCTTATACAGTGGCGAAGCAACATATACGCAAAACAACAGTTGTTTTTAATTGCCTTTCGCGGCATTCCATCGGTCTGTCCGCTATAGTAACTGCCCTTTGTCAAAGGGAAGCTACTCTTACCCTAGTCTATGAGACGTCACGGCCAGACGTAGTTGACAGTCGGTCTGTCCTGTTATAACGTTAAGAAGTGTAGTCAGATGTACACACAGCGTCAAATCGAAACAAGGTAACAATTCAGACTTATTTCGGCCAAATCCAACTATTTTAATTTGTGGAGAAGGTTTCAAGCCGCAGAGGTCTACAAGCACAGATATTGCTACTGATCCCGCTTGGCTAGGCCTCGTGCCCTCGCAAAATTGTTTCGAAATTTATATCTCCAAAGTTGCCAAAACTTATAAATTGCCTTAGCTACGTCACAGTTAGACACTGATTTTCAGTATATTAGACTGTTCTTTTGATAATGATAGCAATTATCCCTGTAGTTTATCCAGATTCCCGATGGTTAATTCTGACTCGATCGCCGAATGACGAGGGCGACGCCATGTTTGTTTATAAACAGTGAAAGTAGTCCTACTTGACCTTTGATGTTTGCATCTCTATCCGCATATGACCCCAACGGATATCGTTTTTATCCGTTGGCTTTTATCCTGCCGAGAAACCTACCCATTATATGATAAATATCGGTATTGGGTCTCTGGTTCAGTGTTTTGTGCAAAAGCACGACACGCCGTTTAGAATGCGCGGTTGATTGTAAGTACGTAGTAAATATCCATGAATTGATGTAAATCTGGATATTGTACACCTAGTTGACTATTTCTCCTGCTGTGCCCATCTGCGCGAAGGATATTTCACTAGCCACATTGAATATCCTCCATATTATATACTTTTTGTGTAGTTGTCTACAGGAAGATTTATAATTTTCATTACAAATGTAAAACCTTGAAACGTAAATTCTCCCTACCTAACACGCAGGGACGTTTCACCACCCATTGTAATTGCGACTTAAAAAGTAGTTCCGAATTTGCAAAATCTTGAAAAATATAAACAAAAATCATAGAAAAAATATTTGAGGTCACTTAAATTCTTTATAACATATCTGGATAGGATTATATATAAAATCAACTTTAAAAAATATTCTCGAAAGCTACGAGACCCTGTTGGAAGCGAAGGAACACACGCTGGTCAAGTAAAAAAATGTCGCTTTGCGAACCGAACAGTCTCGATTGACGGGTTAAATGAGAAATTTACAGTTTATAACGAAACATTTACTAGAGAAAAACAAACCGGCAAGAAGCGATATTAACTCCATAAATGACCATCTGTCATTATTTTGCCTTGTCAATGTGGAACTAAAGGACGTCAGCAGTATGTGTACGGGCCAGACAATTACGGTAAAGTGAGCCTATTTCAAAAGTGTCCTCAAAGTGTAATGTTCACTGCAGTGAAATATCAAGTGTGATGTTCACTGCAATGAAAAAATAACTTTCCTCAACTTCAGAAAACTCAGTCTTTCACACTTAAGTATATACTAACATTTATGTTACTTTATATTAACTGGGGGCATGGGTGGCCCAGTCGTCTAAGTCACCGTAAATCGCTGTGCAGAGTTGCGTCCCATAGGCACGCCACAAACCTATGATCGCGGGTTTGAATCCCGGTTCACCCCGATTATGTTTCTAGGTTTATTAACACCATACCCGTGATTGTTGGTTCACCAAAGTGGTAAACATCTTAGACTTGCGTCGCTTAGGCCTTTTCTCAAAGCTGACACGCAGTGATATAACAGGAATGCTGTTATAAAGCGGCGTTAAACCCAACTCACTCACTTATATTAACTAAAACACAGAATAAAACACAGCATTATATGAGATGCATTATAAAGATAACGAGAATACCCCAATTTGATCGGTTAATAAACGTTGTCAAAAGGGATTGAAAGCCCTGAAATCCTCTGGACGCTTCACTGCGTATGAATACGTCTCTTTGATTAATATGTACCTAACATAAAATTCGGTTGGCGACAAGAAAACCGCCGGACATTCTAACATTTGAAACCTTTAGTTTCAAGAAAATACCGAATACTTATTTTCATCCTCAAATCTGAAAACATGTAATGCTTGTCTCCTATGAATATATATTAACCCATAAGGAATGGGTTTAACTGAGCATTTTAACCATTGAACATCGGATCCGTGTGGACCTATTTGTTTGTTGTTTGACGCCGCACTCAGCAATATTCCAGCAATATGACGGCGGTCTGTAAATAATCGAGTCTGGACCAGAAAATCCAGTGATTGACATCATGAACATCGATCTACGCAGTGGGGATACGATGACATGCATCAACCAAGTCAGAGAGCCTCACTATCCGATCCCGTCAGTCGCCTCTTACGACAAGCATAGTCGCCTCTTACGGACCAATTTGAACCAGGACCTGTTTGAACCATGGCCAACATTCAAAGAACCTTTGCGCCTAAAATATAACACCATTGTTTCGTTAATCATATTTTAAAAAGATAGTCAGGTACTCTATGCGTAACTATGACAACACAGCGTGAGTTGTCCCTGTGTGAAATTTCCATGTCGACGTAGCAGAAGACGGAATCGTTGGCCTACCTCGTGGACGTGGGTTCAATTCTCGCTGGCGACACGCGATTTTCGTGAAATCAAGGTAAATGACGGGGAAAAGAAACGTTCCGTCAACGCTAAAGGGTATTTAACTTCCTATTCAAGGAATCATAGTTTAAAGCAAACTAACATGCATAATAAAGCATGAACATAGAACATATGATAAGAACTAGAAATATACAGTAAAGTGTCCATGAGGGTATATACTGACCACTGCACATGCTTATCAATACACTCAGCGCTACTAGGCCCGGCGTCGTCAGCAGCGGTCGCTCCATTTTCTCTGTCTACCGGGAAGTAGTGGTGCGTGTTTTATACTGCAGTACAGACAGAGATTACGCTTTGTTATTTATCATGCTACACACCAAGGGGCCGACGGCGTTACTGCGGAGTGGAGCTTCATGGTTTAAAGGAAGACATCGAGCGATACCCATAGGCTTGAAGACTTATATTACATGTGAAAAATACCACTCAAAACGTTAAGAACACCCATTTTGTTTCATTTCACAATAGTTATTCTGTCACGCCATGACAGGTTAACTAAATTTATTTTGATATAAAAAGTCGAGTGTTCCTTAACTTCTCTTAAGTATTATGTATACGTCATGATCGAATTCGATGTAATTACGCGGGACCACTTTAATAACAACCTGTTAGGATTTATATTGAGAAAAAACCTAGTGATGCTAAAATTATCTCAATTATATGTGCGTCGTTTTGGATGAAGCAGCACTTTGAAAGAGGTGAGGTGGTGAGGTGACTACCTTTAGTGTAAACCCACTTGCGCAATGGGATAATAGTATGGGATATGCCGCATGGTGTCAAGAGTGTTGTGGTCCAGGGTACGTGTAGTGGTTGGTCGCTCCTGGGCTTCCAGATTGTCGTATGCTATAAGTAAACCGAAGAACAAAAGAAACAATACCACAATACCTCTCAGTTGATTCTATCATATGTTTGATTTTCAATTCAAAATATCTTATGTTAGAGAGATTATATCCAAAAAATGATCAGTACTTGCGCTTAGTCAGCAATTGAAGAATACTTCTACATGATTTTAATGTTTTTGAAAATAATTGTATCTAAACCTTTTAAAAATGAAAAAAATAAACTTTACGCATAATACTACACAACAACTGAAAGGTATGTTAGACATTTTATCTTTGAAAAATCAATAGATTTCCTTTTCTCGGCTCAAGCATACAACTTTTCGAACACGGTAGAGATTATGTGGTTGCAAATTCTTGCCTTACCAAAGTCTTTATTTAACCAATTTATTTTTACACAAAATTGCCCAGCCACATATTACTTTTTACAAACAGTTGCAGGAATGAGTGATTGTTAGAAAGACATAACCAAAGTTAAAAAAACTTTTTGTAATTTTCAAACCCTGTATACTCAGTTTGTTTGCCTTAAATTTTCGGTAACATTTAGAATCAATGTTAGTGAGAATTCACTAATATTTTCCTTCATTGAATAAATGATAACAATTCAATACTGAAACTATCAGTCTGTGAATATCGAGTCTGAACCAGTGTCTTGAGTCTGCATCGGTGTCTTTAGTCTGGGCCAGTGTCTTGAGCCTGTGCCAGTGTCTTGAGTCTGGGTCAGTGTCTTGAGTGTGCACCAGTGTCTTGAGTCTGTGTCAGTGTCTTGAGTCTGCATCAGTGTCTTGAGTCTGCACCAGTGTCTTGAGTCTGTGTTAGTGTCTTGAGTGTGCACCAGTGTCTTTAGTCTGGGTCAGTGTCTTGAGTGTGCACCAGTGTCTTTAGTCTGCATCAGTGTCTTGAGTCTGCACCAGTGTCTTGAGTCTGTGTCAGCGTCTTGAGTCTGGGCCAGTGTCTTGTGTCTGGGCCAGTGTCTTTAGTCTGGTACAGTGTCTTGAGTGTGCACCAGTGTCTTGAGCCTGGGCCAGTGTCTTGAGTCTGGGTCAGTGTCTTGAGTGTGCACCAGTGTCTTGAGTCTGGGTCAGTGTCTTGAGTCAGGGCCGGTGTCTTGTGTCTGGGCCAGTGTCATTAGTCTGGGTCAGTGTCTTGTGTCTGGGTCAGTGTCTTGAGTCAGGGCCGGTGTCTTGTGTCTGGGCCAGTGTCATTAGTCTGGGTCAGTGTCTTGTGTCTGGGCCAGTGTCTTGAGTCTGCATCGGTGTTTTTAGTCTGGGCCGGTGTCTTGTGTCTGGGCCAGTGTCATTAGTCTGGGTCAGTGTCTTGAGTCTGCACCAGTGTCTTAAGTCTGGGCCAGTGTCTTGAGTCAGGGCCGGTGTCTTTAGTCTAGGCCAGTGTCTATAGTCTGGACCAGTGTCTTGAGTCTTGGTCAGTGGGCCAGAGTCTTGAGTCTGCATCGGTGTTTTTAGTCTGGGCCGGTGTCTTGTGTCTGGGCCAGTGTCTTTAGTCTGGGTCAGTGTCTTGAGTCTGCACCAGTGTCTTAAGTCTGGGCCAGTGTCTTGAGTCAGGGCCGGTGTCTTTAGTCTAGGCCAGTGTCTTTAGTCTGGACCAGTGTCTTGAGTCTTGGTCAGTGGGCCAGTGTCTTGAGTCTGCATCGGTGTCTTTAGTCTGGGCCAGTGTCTTTAGTCTTGGTCAGTGTCTTTAGTCTGAGCCAGTGTCTTTAGTCTGGGCCAGTGTCTTTATTCTTGATCAGTGTCTTGAGTCTGCATCAGTGTCTTGAGTCTGTGTCAGTGTCTTGAGCCTGGGCCAGTGTCTTGAGCCTGGACCAGTGTCTTGAGACTGGGTCGGTGTCTTTAGTCTGGGCCGGTGTCTTTAGTCTGGGCCAGTGTCTTTAGTCAGGGCCAGTGTCTTGAGTCTGCACCAGTGGCTTGAGCCTGGGCCAGTGTCTTGAGTCAGGGCAGGTGTCTTTAGTCTGGGCCAGTGTCTTTAGTCTGGGTCAGTGTCTTGAGTCTGTGTCAGTGTCTTTAGTCTGTGTCAGTGTCTTGAGTCTGGGTCAGTGTCTTTAGTCTGGGTCAGTGTCTTGAGTCTGTGTCAGTGTCTGAAGTCTGTGTTAGTGTCTTAAGTCTTGGCCTGTGTCTTGAGTCCGTGTGAGTGTCTTTAGTCCGGGCCAGTGTCTTGAGTCTTGGCCTGTGTCTTGAGTCTGGGCCAGTGTCGTGAGTCTGTTTCTAAGTGAATGGTGTTTAATGCCAGTCAGAAATGTTCAAGCAATCACGGTGTCGTGTATATACTTGAATCTGGGTCATATCATGAGCACGTTGACAGACCAAGTTACCGACACTGAAAACCCGATCCAATTTAGTCGCCGCTTTATAGTGTGCTAAAGGTTGAAGAACTTTTACGTTAGGGCTAAAGTATGGGTTAACGTCAGGGTTAGAGTAAGGACTTAAGTAACGATAAAAGAAAGGATTGAAGTAAGGGTTAAACTAAGAGTTAAAGTAAAGGTTAAAGTAAGGGTTAAAGTTAGGGATAACGTTAGGGTTAAAGTGAGGTTTAAAGTTAGGGTTAACATTAGGGTTAAAGTAAGGGTTAACGTCACTTTGTGTGGAGACACTGTGTGTACTTCCTGGTACGTCGTACGTGGTATCAGAGACATTCTTGCCTCGCTCAGTAACACTAATCGCCGTCAAACACCCGTCAGTTGACACTGATGAATGGAGTCACTGCAAGTACGCTCGTTTGTTTGGTTTCCTTTCAGTGATAAACACACCTTAAAATATTAAACACCGATTCCTATATAATTCCATATAAACTAGCCATTTTCTGGAAACGTATTTAGCATTAAATGTTCTGACGAAACCCATTTGAATTTGTTTACAAATTGTACAAATTGATAAACTCATAATGAATTACTGACATAGACCCTCAGCAACCCATACTTGTCGCAAGAGGCGACTAACGGGATCGGGTGGTCAGGCTCGCTGACTTGGTTGATGCATGTCACCGTATCCCATTTGCGAGATCGATGCTCACGATGTCAATCACAGATTCTGTCTTGTGCAGACTCGATTATTTACAGACCCGTGGTCATTAAGCTGGAATATTGCTGAGTGCGGCGTTGAAAAACAAACAAAAATGTTTCAATGGCCTTAAATATTGATGTCACCTATGGGGAGTCCGAAGAAGGCGTTGCCTCAAGTAACCTATTCTTGTCCTAAGACTTACTTGGATTGGGTGGTCGGCCTCGGTGGCTTGGTTGATTGCGTGTCACAGTACCCCGAGTGTTTTAATAATATATGCTGGTGACGTGGGTATTTGAAGCAAAGTGTACCCAAAACACCTTTTTAATTACAATGGATATATTATACCTATTTTTTTTTCTGTTATCAAATAAATGTCTTTGTTATTATGTACCCCATAGTTCTGTGTGTGCATGGGTATGGCGGAGGACTGTAGGAATGGGCTTCATACGAAACATTAGCCAGGTGTAAGGAACTTGATTGAGACACTGGGCTACTTTACTGATATTATTGACATATTTCCTTCACACATAAAATATTACCGTGCACAGTGGAATCTGTCGAGACAGGACTTTGACTAATCAGCATTTGTAATACGAGGCGATATCAATTGTGCCGAATATAATATAATTCATAATAATACTTCTTTGAATCTTGTTTCTATTTACATTTGTCATCCTCTGGTATAATATTCCTAACACAGGCCTCTGTTAAAATCAAACTTACTTTCGGCCCCATAACAAGTAAGACGTTCATTTCGCCTGGATGTCAAAACAGTGACGCAATGAAGTCCAAAGCAGATTCTGCGCTGGCCTTTACGCAAGACAGGCTAGCAACGACACCTAATGCATGGTGACAAATGATGATTAATGATCGATATTTGTTTGTTTGTTGCACTCAGCAGTATTCCAGCAACATGAGACTTGTCGCCAGTCTATGTAACCCAACTGTCCCCTGAGTTCACGCTGAGTGGCACTTTCTTGTGGCTCCCGGCACACAGCACATAGGAGCCTTCCCCGACCCCTATCCAACAGCCCCTTTAGACTAGGACTTCTTGAGTGTACCAAGTTGTAGAGAATATCCCCCTTAAATATAAAGGCTGTACAGAATGATAAGCCCATGGATGTATAGCAATTCTATCCTTATTCGAGAGCAACTCATTATATGAAGCGGCACATCACAACAGGAACTGAAACATTAGAGACCAACTCATCATACAAAGTGGCTCGTCACAACTGAAGCGGAAACATTACAGACCCATATGAATTGGCGCGCCATAACCGGAGCTGAAACATTAGAGATCAACTCATTATATCAAGTGGCGCGTCACAACTGGAGCTGAAACATTAGAGACCAACTCACTTTTTCATTTGTAAAGGTGCGTCACAACTGGAGCTGAAACATTAGAGACCAACTCATTACATGAAG